TATCGGCGATGGGTGGGGGTGGGGGATGGGGGGGGGGGCTCCCACCTCAACCCAAACACGCACTTTACCCTCAAAAAAAGAGTTTTAGTTTTAATAAAATATGAAAGTATTCATTATATATCCATTTAATCTCTTTATTTCAAGTCCCTTTGGGTCGTTCTTAATTTCATTTTGGGTCCTTTTGGGTTCCTTTTGGGTCCTTTTGGGTAAACCGACGCACCGCGCTTTTTTTTGTATATAGATTTCAAGCACGGATTTGACAACGAAAACAACACAAGACTACCAGTGATTACATTGGTTACGATAAATTAATCAACATCCCTGCCATGAAAAAGGAGATACAGCTTCTAAGAATTAGATGAAAACATTTGACATCGTCTTTAAAAACACAGAAGCTCACAACTTTATCAATAAAGTCAATAGAAATCACTCGATTGACCAAGCCATGTGGCACATCTCTACTTTCGTTTTCGATCATCGCGGGAAATCTGATTTATAAGTTATAAAACGAAAGATAGGAACTTGTTTTAGATGTAGATTAAACCATGTCATCATTTGTTTTGTTTAAAACTGAATGAACATTCAGAATTATTGCTTCTAGGCTATATCAGCAAAGATCACTCTTCAAAAGGCTAAGTAAAGCAGCCAATCCAAGCAAAATGATGAGCATGAAAAATATTTGAATTTGTACAATTTATGTCCAACTTAAGGTGTTTCTGTCTTCTTCTTTGCTGTTGATATTTAAGATTATTTAGTGTAGGTACCTGATTTCATTTAAGTCTTATAATATACATGTATATTACATGAAAGATATCGATAATCCAAGCGTAAAACAACACGCGCGTAATGCTACCGCTTTTGGGGTCTGAATCTCCCTATTTTTCATCACAATAGGTTAACATGTATGGCACTATCCTCGTCTGCTTGGGGGCAAAATCTAGTAATATTCTGTAGCCTGCTAGGTCTTTTGATAAATTAACAATCCCACCTCTGAAGTCTCGGGGGTCCGTGTTTGCTCTGCTCCTTATAGTTGTATTGTTTTCTGGACTTTAAGATTGAATACTGTTCGTTATCTCCATATCCTTATTGATAGGGTAAAAGATTTAAGGGGGATGTACGGCCACTTTTAGTGCAGTGAGAGCAAAATGTAAACATTTCTTCAAATGGCTAAAATACATTATATTTTGATCAAATTTTAAGTCTTTTTGATAAAGATACAATAAATATGCATAACCGAATGCATGTTGTGCATATATAATCTATACTTTTGCAGAAAAATGTTTTTGATATGCTCCTTAGAACTGCGCAGCTACAGAATTCAGCAGAGCCTTAAAAAATCCAAAAAAAATATGCAAACTGTGCATTAATGTTCTCTCTACAACCATTTGTTGAGAAAATGTCTAAATTTTGCACTTTTAAATGATAATTTCAAGTTCAAAACAAGGTACCGTTGTCTTCAAAAAGAGTGTAAAGAACCATGAAAGTAGTTCATGGATAGCAGCACGTGGTCTATTTTTAGCACAGAATCGTGTTTTCCAGACCTCTTCTTAATATGGAGGGGCATAACAATCTTTAAATGTAGAAGAGAATTACAATTGCAAAATATTTCAAATAATATGAACACTTTTAAAAGAGGAAAGGTGTTATAGTGTGGGTTGAAGTAATTTATTTATTATTATTATCGAACAGTTGTTAAATAGTTTACGTATTGATATGAAAAAAATTTAAACTCTTTGATTCCAGGTAAGGAAAAATGAGCATCATCAAAGTTAAAAATTAAGAGTTTGTAAGTTTGCCACAGATAAATTATATTATCTATTAAAATTTTAATTATCACCAATAAAACACAAAAACATTAGACACATAAAATTGATACGAATGACCTTGTCTTAGTACCCACTAGTACGAAGCGTTATCAAAAAGTTCGCGAAATATATCTATATCTACAAAACCACAATTCAGATTAGATAGCCAAACACAAGTTCTATATATAAATAGCATATGCTGAAGTTTTGCTCCTTGTTTGTGATTTCACAATCTGAAAATGACGTCATTATTCAGGTACTTTTGACGAAAAATGGTTGTCTCAGTGGAACTCGTTCAACAAACGACTATAATATTTATGGCACATGTATATCTTAGAAATGCCTTTGAAGTAGCGTATAAGAATTTGTTCACAGTTTATTAAATGGCTTCCTATAATTTCAATCAATGATTGGATATCGTTTTAGTGAAGGAAGGCAGATGGTTAAATATGATACTTGTTATGTTGCCCGGTGAAAGCAAGTTAGAAAAGGGATGTGTTTTTAATAAAGCAATATGCTATCAAAGACCTTCAATTAAAATTTTACACTTTGAAAAATACTTGAATATTTCAACAATAATATAAATATCAAATACCTAAGATATTGTTTACTTAAGGAATCACTGTCTAGTTTTGAGAGTATGCCAGGGCATCAACAATAGTGGGAAACATGGGATAATTTGCATAACGGGCGAAGCCTGTTATGCTAAAATTATCCCATGTTTCCCACTATTGTTGATGTCCCTGGCATACTTTCAAAACTAGATAGTGATTCCTTATATTTTCCATTTCATTGTGAAATAAAATTGTAGACTTAGACATTAAAAATGTTGACTACCGGGGGTAATAGATTTAAATTACACGAGGACTTCCATGCCAATTTCAATAGTCCTCGCACACTGACGTCAAACACAAAGGCAGCCGCAGGAGATTTACATGCATATTTGGCCTCCTTAGCGTCAGACACAGAGACAGATGCGCACGAGATTTGCATGCGTATTAGGCCTTCTTAGCTGCTGACCTCTCGACCTGCCTAATCTACATTCAGGCAATAATTATCAAGAAATAAATTCCCCCAACTTTCAAACAGTTATCACAGAGAAAAAAATTAGAAATGGAAATATTTTTTGATCACCCCTCGTATACTGTGTCAAAAAAAACATTCATTTACAATTTTCATTACAGAGGAGCAACAGTTGAAAAGGCATGAAATCATTCAGAGTGGGTTAGGAGATTTAATGAATAATTTTTTTTTCTATTTGCCCATATTTTCAAAATTACAATTGTACAAAGTAAAGAGAAAAAAATCAACATATAAACATCTTTAAAATGATGTTTGGTGGTCCTCCCAACTCAGGGAAAAATTATTGGGTCCGTATTTATAGGTGAGAAAAAATATCCTTAAAATTTAAACAGAATTGTTGAGGGAAGAAAAAGAAAAAAAAATATCGTGTAATAGGATGTTAAAAAAATGAGTCGGGCCATTTCTAGGCAGTAGATCGGGAGAGAGGGCAACCAAATATTTCTATAAGAAGTGGTCTTATAAGGCTAGTACATGTTCCATCACATACTTAGTAATGCAATTTTTTTAATCTTTGACACTATTTTGAAAAACAAACATAGGATTTTCAGGGCGGGGGGGGGGGGGGGGGGGGGTTAGCACTCACTTTTTTTTGCGATGATAGACATAGCATAAGCAATGGACCTTGTGCTCGCTTCTAAATTTCATAGAAACAACTCATTATATTTTATCAAGCCTCGTATGTTCAATGAGCGAGAGCTTACAACGTTTTCAACATAATGAGACATGATGCGTTTTTGTGTCCAAACATGACCCCATACAATGTGTGGGTCATTGCAAACATTCTAGCTATTTATGTGAGGTGCCTAAAGGAAATCCTATAACTGCCTATTTTTTCTATCTAACTTCTAAACAAAATAGACATATACACCAACTTTTCGAATGTAAGACATGTAATTACAATTTATTTTTCATGCACTGCATATTGTTTAACATTTTCAAATTAAATGCCAAGCATCCTCCTTGCAGTGCCCCATTTGAAAATAATTTCTTTCGCCACAGAAAAAAGACCCACAGTAAACACTTATGTTTAGGACATTTTTATCTTTTTTTTCTTGAGTTTTAAAGAAACCAACAAATTATCAAGACTTGTTCCATAAAAATTAAATATAATCATGGTAATAAACGGATCTATCCACAGCAGATATATGCACATGCCAACCATGTGCTTTAGTGGAATAATATTAACGAGGAATTTCGAGTTGTAAACAGAACAGTTTTTCCCGATTTGCTGGAGTGAGGTTAAAATCGCGTTTTCTCATTAATCAGACGATGCGATGCAACAAATAAAAGTAGTTAGTAATATAACCTAATGATTATTACTTAGTAATTTCTTGTCTTGATGTTATTATGGTCGCATTTATTCTAAAATCATTGTTATTCGAACTCTGTGTGACAGAGGAATGGCGGACGAAATAAACACATGGCCTCAGGAAGACTCCCATATGAAAAATCAAATTTTCAAGAATTATGGATAATGACAAGAAAAAAACGAAACAAATGGTTGTAGCCATGTTATCAATGAATCAAACTAACTCCATTTTCAATGCATTTTTCATCTCATGAATGCTGTAGCTGCGCAGTTCTAACATGATTAATTTTCTTCTAATTAAGACAAAATAAACTTAATTATTTACTAATTTTGGCCTCTAACAGTAGGTAATTAGTGCATTAGCACTTTGAGTAAATTTGAGCTAGTTTAGTAGAGTATTTAGCGCATTCTTGGTGTTTCTTAGTTTACACCAGACTAGATCCAATATGGCTTGTACATCCCCCTTAATCTATTTTGTATAACATACACAAGGCATGTAACTTGCCTACGCCACAATGAGTTATAGGTCAAAAACGCTTCACTTTTTTTATTTCATTTTTAAGATGTGCTAAATTTGAAGCTTTTTTTCCGGAGGAAAACTGAAAAAAATTGTTTCATTGTCTACACTGAAATCAAATTATAAGAAATGAAGCTTATTTCAACAACTAAATGATATTGTTTTACTTTATATATCAATGTTGAAAATGTCTCATTCATTTTGCCTTATCTAAGGAAAGTCATTTATATCTAATATATGGGTCAGGGAATTAAATTACTTTAAGTTTATAAGCTCGTCCATTTGTCTAACCAGCTAGTGCCAATATTCACCAAATAAGTTCAATCATCATAGAGTAAAAACAACATATCACCAATTTATTTATTGTTAGGTCATAAAACAGAACCAGCAAAGGGGAATGATATTGATTGAATTGATTATCCGAATTAATGCGGGATTTATTACCGTTTAGTTTCCATTCTGGTGCACATACTTCTACTAAGGTACTTTCATCACTTCTAAGCAGGCAGTGGTATTTAAATAACTCGGGGACGGAACAGTTCTGTTTGACGGAATTTTGACAATTTTTATTTGTAGCTGCTACATCCCATTCTTGTTTGGATGTAGGGCAGTGGCTAACGTTATGCACGGTCGAAATCGATGGTATGCAGCTGTCTTGTAGAGATGGCATCTGTAGATAAAAACAGAAAAAAAAACATGAAAAGAATTATGAAGAACACTACAATCAATAGCTAATGCATTCATTAGCATACTGGTAATGAATAAATCAATTTAAAGGATTACACTTGAGTGATGATAATAGGCTCCTTTCGGAAAACCGAAATTTAAAATCAAAAGGTCCTTTGAGAAATCTACATAAATGTCTTTAATTTACTTTTTCTATGTAAACTATCCAAATATAAAGCACTCTGAAGTGTCTTTTATTATAAGTTCACTTGGATGCATCAAAATGACATATTAAAAGAACTATCCATTACATGTTCAAGTTATTGATCGTTGTCTATTCTACTTAAGCATTTCCTGTAAGTATGCAATCCATTTTGTACCTTCCTTACCATTATTTTTTCCTGTAGTGATATTGACTTTGCAGCATGACCTATACTTTTTTTTAACTTGTTATACATTTTTCATCTTTGAGATTTTGATACAAGTCCATATATATAACCGCTTGTGTTTTAAGATTTTAGATTTTATTCATTTGTGTGTGGGAGGGTGTGTTTGTGTGTGTGTGTGTGGGGGGGGGGTTATCCTGTTAACTTATCTGCATTGTACTTCGTAAAAAGTGTGCCTGAAAGATGATTGAAAACATGACAGAAATTTTCATATCCCTTCAAGTACTTATTGATTGAGATAAGTATCCTAAAAAGATTAAATCCAAAGTTTGGATGTGTGATGTTGTGAGTCGATGAGTGGGTGGGTGGGTGTGTGGATGGGTGGGTGTGTAAAGGGGGAGGGGTGGAACGGGTGCGTACGTGTACTTGAGATGAGGGATGGAATATGAGGTGTTTATACCTGGCTAGTAATGTTACTTTTGATTGACATAAAAAAGGTATACATACCACTTGAAAAAAGTAAAGAACAACAGCAAATAAGTGGATAAAGCGGTGTCGGTAACATCTAGAAGACAACTGAAAAAAGAGGGAAGAGAAAGGAATAAGGAGTAATAAAATATATATCTAAGCGAAAGTTTTCTTAATATTTTCTCGATTATAAGAATTTAGTTTCGTAAATCACGAGTTCATAAAAATTTGGACCTCAAAAAAGAACAAATTCAGAAACAGGAATAAAAATTCAATATTAAAGGTTTTAATGATATTTTGGTTTGAAAATAATTTTATCAAAATTTGCTATAAGTACGAGGGTCGTCCTAAAATTTAGTAGACTGAGTTCATATTTTTAAAAGAAATTAATTTGGCTTTATAAAACTTGGGTGGATAAAACGTGCAGATATATTACGAAGTTTTATCATGTTTACATCAAAACAATTTGAGTGATAACATTTGAAATGACATCGTTCTCTAACACCCGGGGCAATTTACAACGTCAAAAAATACAAATGTCCAAATTTTTGGAGAAAATATTCCAATTATTATGTTGTAAATATTGAATTTACAAGGGGTAGTAAATTTTATCATGTTGTACATTTTGCATTTACACCCCACCCCCAACCCTCCCAATATAAATTAAAAATTTACAACATGATGCAATTTCCAAATTAAGAAATTCTTTAATTAATCAAAAAAATAACGAAGTATATGCATGTATGAGACAGAGGATCAAAACACTTGATCACAGTTTAGCGCGCCGTCTGTGCCAACGTTAACGAAACCGCAATTTTTCAAAATATCGGATTTCAACCAGTATATATAAAACGTCACAGAGTATATGTCCTGGATTTTAAATACTAGTATAATTATAATGCTGTAACAGTATCGATTTTAGTCGCAACCTTTTTGGAACTGTTCCAGCTTCTACACCAGCCAATGAACTGTATGATTTAAATAGGGTTAAATTGTGTAGATACTCCACATTTGTCCATATTTTTTTAGTTAGTGGTAGCTTAATCTATGTAAAGAGTTTCATTAATATATGACATCGGGATCCTACAAAACAACGCCTGTATAGAAATTTGGGACAACCCTCTTGTGTGAAAGATTCTTTTTTAGCATTTTCCAAAAATCTATATGACAAAGAAAACAATAATTGTCTACTAATAAAGCTCACAGGTAGCCCTTCCTGTTTTTCATCAGAGTTTTTTTTTTAATTAAAAATTCATATGTCCTATACGTAAAGTTCTGACTGCCCAAGCAGTCCTAATCTACCACTCAGAAGTCAAGATTTGAACAATAAAAAATCTGATGAATGGTTTCTCTGCAATTATATTTCATAAACTTCGTTCAACAGAGATGGTAAAGTCAAAAGAAGAAAAAAAAAACATATAGGGAGTAAAAGAAGATAAAATATATAGGGATAGACTTAACTAGAAAAATAAAAGAACAAATAAATTTTACAGCAGATCTTACGTTATCATTATATCTAACTGTGAATCTCTCAAAAAGATGAACAATAATCAGTATTTGTGGTATTTAATGGGTGTATGAAAATACTGTATGTCATTTAGATGGATGGAAAAAAAATTCGAGAAAATATTAATTTTTGGTTTGAATAGCAATGAAATTGTAATTTAGGTTATCAATATATTTCTTTAGGAGAAATGATGTAGAATTTTCACAGTTTCTTACCAAAGTAAATTTTAAAATCCTTTTCTCTTCAGGATTCAAAACCATAAAATTAAGTCGCACAGAAATTCAGTTTAAAATTTTTTTTAGCGAAAAAGAACAGAATTATTCCAGTTTAAAATTAAGATTAAAGCAAACAGCATTTGTTAATTACAAATTATATAAGAGAAAAACACTAGTACAAAAACAAAATTGTTGATATATTTTTTTAGTACAGACATAGTTTTAAAAAACCCAGATAAAATTTAATATTCATTTTGGCAATAAAAAGACTTTTAGAGGGAGTCAAATCGACCTCAGACAATAACGTAAATTTACAAAGGAAAATACCCTACCTATATAACTTATTGAGTATTTTTGTTATCATGCATGGTTGAGTTCTGATTTAAAAAAAAAAATAATTCTCCAATGTTTTGTTTGCTTAAAAACACCGACTTTCCCCAAAAATAATGACTTAAATTTTTTTTTCATAAAAGTCAGGCTGCATGTGGACGGATTATGTGAGAATAGGTGTTATGTCAAATATTTTTAACATAGCATTTTTCTGTTAATCATGATTAATGTTACAAGTCTTACTTTTCGTTTATATGTAAATACTATACACTATATAGTTTTTTTCCCTCTTTTTTAAGGAAGATGGACGACTTATCGGGTTTTCATGCTTCTATGACTAATAAAGAAGTATAGATTTTGTTTTGAATCAAAATAGAATACTGCATTAAAAATAAAAAAAAAAATAATACAACAAATGCACACTGTAAAAAAGTATATATAGAAAACGAAAGTTCTTTTTCTTCTCCTTTTTTTTTTAATTTCACCCTATTAAAGGCAAAACTATTGAAATGAAATACGGTTACATGCATAGATATAATCTATAATAAAAATATTTATCTAAACATGCATTTTTAACCTTGCAATTTTCGTACACATATTAAAAACGAAAGTAAAAATGTTTTCAAAATTTAAACCTATAAGGAATATGTATTATTGTTATTTACATTATTGTACAAAAAAAAATATGCATGTACTTTACGAATTATTTTGATAGCTAGTTTATGCATAATACGATTGCCTTAGTTCTAGAATGTTTATACGTACCATGGTTATAAAACACAAAATAGTGGGCAATTCTGCGCAATCACCTTCCTGGTTCTGTGGTATCCAAAGGCGGATCCAGTGGTCCAGTGGGGTTTGTGGTTACACATGTATATTACGTTATTCATAAGACAACGAATGAAAATTTAAACAATTTCATCTACATTCGGTCACTTTGACCCAAACCTGGCACTAAGTATTCTTTAGCCCCCCCCCCCCCCTATTCATTAAATATATATACCTTGCCCCCCCCCCCCCGACTTCCAATTTGCTTCCGACGCCTATATGTAATTAACCTTTACTTATGTCTAGAGATGCACTTTATTCTGAAACTGGATGGGAAACTTCAAAAAACAGACGATATATTGCTAAAATGACTACTTTGTACAAAATTCGCACGGGACGAGCACCGGAATATTTGAAAGATATTGTCCCCAATAAGCGTGAACATGTATCACATATAATACCCGTAACAAACAAGATTTCGTTGTTCCTAGGTGTAGATTAGAACTATTTAGAAACTCATTCGTACCTGACGCTGCAAAACAATGGAATTTATTAAAAACAGATACGAGAGAAGCCGTTTCAGTCAAAACATTTAGAAAAAACTTGACAACAAAAATTGATATTCCACCACCATACTTTTCTTTTGGCAAACGATACACAAATATCATTCATACCAAGTTAAGACATTACTGTATACTATAAACCATGATCTATATAAACAAAATATTGTAAGTAGTCCATTATGTTTATGTGGAAAAAATAAAGATGTGTATCATTTCTTTTTTGCATGCACAAATTATTCCAATGCTATAGAAATACTATTTTTAATCATTTGTTCATGCTTGATTTGGTTTCTATTGATATTATAATGTATTATTATGTGGTGATGTTAATTTGCCTTTACAGATAAATACCAGTAATTCTGCTGCTGTTCATAAATTTATTGACGAAAAATGTAGATTCTCTAAATGATGTATTACATTATATTGTATCTATTTATTATGTATCGATTGTATTATTTTTTTTTCTTTTTGAATGGTCAACATATTGTATTATATAAGGAGAGGAATTCACTAAGTCATTTAGAACTTGTTTCCAATCCTTTTGATTGATATCAATAAACTACGTTCAAAACAAACAAAACCTATGGAGAGGGTTTATATATATGCTATGCCTGCTGCCTAATCCGTTTATGTACATGTATATAATGAAATATGTTCAAATCAAATCATGTATTCTTTCATAATGGGTTTTCAACTTTGTTCAAGTAGAGGCCCTTTTAGTAAACATTGAATGATATTTTGATAACCTGTCAGTGCTGTCCTTATCCAAGACCATTATGTTTAATATCTATTCATATGTTGCATGGTTTGTTTTATTGTTAAACACTTTGATGAAATAATAAAAGTTTAAAAGGAAAATATATTTTAAAGTTTTGAATTATAAGCCAAATTAATTATATTAAAACGTGACAAATTTGTCATTACATATATAATTATAGGCCTATATATGTTCAACAATAATTAGAATTTCACTTATTCTTGAGAAATCATGCATAGTATTAGTTTAAAGTCATCATGCAGTACATGTAACCGTATGGAACCTCCCCGAGGAAAAAAACAAACAGTCATGACTCACAGATCCATGGGGACGGTAACAACTTCCCATGACATATCCACAATTATTTTATTCAGGGACGTAGCAACAGGGGGGGGGGGGGGGGGGGGGGGGGGCCTGCCCCCCCCCCCCACTTTTTTCCCCAACATTAAACATTACCTTTACTATAGTAATTGTTCATTGGGAGGATGGTTGCCCCCCCCCCCACTTTTAACCGTAGTATAGTGATACGAAGGAAAGGTAGGGAAAAAATTGGAAGTGAAAGTCACTTGGCTTTGAAAAAGTTGGCCATTACCCCCCTCCCCCCCCCCCCCCACCACCACCACCACCACCACCACGAAGTAGGATTTTTGAGTTTGGCAACTTTTAATTTTCCGTTTTTTTTTTTTTTTTTTTTTTTTTTTGCTAGTCAACTTTTTCAGGTAAGTAAACAAAATTTTTCTCTGGTTGCCCCCCCCCCCCCCACTTTCGAAAACGATGCTACGTGCCTGGTATTACAGGAATATCTTCTAGTATGATAGTAAGTAACGTATATAGATCCCTGCTATTAAAAAAAAAAAAAAAAAAAAAAAAAAAAAAAACGCAGTCGTTCTCTAGCTCGATCTTTGTAACATTATATAGAGAGTATTTATGTATTTATTTTTTATAAAAGACTATTTAGTTTTTTTTTAGTAGTTATACCTTATGAAACTGTATAATGAATATGTGAGGGAATTTTTTTTTTCAATAAAAGTCAAAGAACCCTTGGGGTATCAATTTTCATCATAGGAAGGCACATGCGGATCCCCAAGCACCTGTGTCATGACTTAGAGGGATAGTGGCTAGGTGTGGGTATGATATTCTGATATCGTTTTTGATCTCTACACAGATACACTGTAACATGCTGAATCAGATGGAGAGAAAATGAAAAAAAAAAATAAAAATAAAAATTAGGGGACACCCGGGTCCGAACCGGGGACCTCTCGATCTGCAGTCGAATGCTCTACCACTGAGCTATATCCCCTCGTGCTGAATTCAGGTTTAAAAAAAATATAAAAAATTTTAGCATTATTTTGACTATGTCAACAATCATAAATGTTACTGTTTGGGTGATTTCTGTCAATTGATGGTTTAACATTTTTGTTAAAATTGTACGACAGATAGGACAGGTGCCCTTAAGAAATCAAAAGAGAAGAGAACACATCACCGAATTCATTTATTGTATCCGGAATAAAACACATAACGTTCCGGTTCCGGCATTTATATTCTTGCAATACACACGTGGGAAAAACCTCAGGGAATATTGACATAAACATGTGAATCTGGAATATGTTTTAGTGTGCTGTGCAGACTTATAGAAAGATCAGATAAACTACATAGTTTAAAAAAACATCGATGATACATTTAGGGTATGTTTGCATGGTTTGGATCAACAGCTATTAAACTAGATAGAATGTTCTATCGTTAAAATGATATTGTCCTACGGACCCGGTTTGAGGGCCTGTACCGAGACACAGTTAGATTATTCTAACTACTATTAAACAGGCGACACAGTCGTCCTCATACGAGTCATAGGATGGATATGACAAAAATTTGGCCAAAAATTGATTACTTCGTTTTTTATCAATTTTGCAGAGAAACCAATGTAAAATTGTGGAATCATGAAGTAATCATTTTTTGGCCAAATTTCGTCTTATTCATCATTAGCGTGACTATCAAAATACATGGTTTTCACTATGTTGTGCCGTTTGGTCATTTGGCCACAAAACAGGTTGGAACCAATCGCCCAAATGGGATATAATAGCCCATTTGGGATATAATATCCCAAATGGGCTATTAATTTACAGAGCAAAAATTAAGAATTTTTATTTTGACAATATAATATCATAAATCCGCATTAGGACACTTAAAAAGGAATAACTTTTGGTTGACAAATTTTCCTGTATGCCCATTGTTTAGGAGATTGATCCCTCGGAAGTTCCTTAACTTCTTGGGGATCAATCTTACAAACTGTAGGGTTGAAGAGAAACTTGTCAACCAAAAGTTATTCCTTTCTATGTGTTCTGATGCGGATTTATGAAATATATTGCCAAAATAATTTTTTTCAATTTTTGCACTATAAATTTATAGCCCATTTGGGATATAATATCCCAAACGGACTATTATATCCCATTTGGGTGTTGGTCCCAACCTGCAAAATGCAGATGATACAAAAAGTGAGAAAAAAATAGCTACTTTGGGACGTCGGTATGGAAATAATCTTTGGGTTTGATCTGATAATTAAAAGTAAAGTACCGGTATGCAGTCTTGCAGATATGAACGAATTAACTCAATTTTGCAGGTTTAATGTTAACATGTGATAGTTGATGTTGATTTTAATATAGTAGAATAAAAAATGTTTATTCTCTTGTTTCAATTTACTTCCACTTTCATCACAAGAAATATTTTGTACTTTCAGATAATGAAGAAATTTAGTAGACTAAAGGAATTACCAACAGCAGATCAAAACAAGGACACAAACACGGTAGAATTTCTTAAGGAATCACTGTCTAGTTTTGAGAATATGCCAAGGCATCAACAATAGTTGGAAACCTGGGATAATTTGCATAACTGACGAAGGCCGTTATGCTAAAATTATCCCATGTTTCCCACTATTGTTGATGTCCTTGGCATACTCTCCAAACTAGGCAGTGATTCCTTATATTTCCATTTCATTGTGAAATAAAATTGTAGACTTAGACATTAAAAATGTAGACTAATAGATTTAAATTACATGAAATCTTCCATGCCAATTTCAATAGCCCTCGCAAACTTACGTCAAACACAAAGGCAGCTGCACGAGATTTACATGCATATTTGGCCTCCTTAGCGTCAGACACAGAGACAGATGCGCACGAGATTTGCATGCGAATTAGGCCTCCTTAGCTGCTGACCTCTCGACCTGCCTTATTTATATTCTGGCAGAATTATCTGTCAGGGGCATAACTTAAACAAGTTATTTTCAAAAATAACTCAAATGAGTTATTATTTTGTCTCATTGAGTTACATCTCTTTGCTATGACCTACTTTTTCCCAACCTTAATAACTCAAACACGTTATTTTTCCAAAATAGCTTCAATAAATAAATAACTTATTTAAGTTATTTTGTGTTATTCCTCCCTAACTTCACACCCCGTGCACCAAAGGATTTTGCTCGTGCACCAAGACAAAAACAAATGTATGACTAAATATATACCTTGATCAATGCAGAAAAAGTGTTCAAAGTCTTGGGAAAAGTGGGGAGAAGTTTTTTTATTTAATGATTTAAATTGGACATATACACCATGTGGATAAAACCACAAAATAAGGAGTAAAATGCTGTTTATCTCCACCTCCTCACCAATTCTCCATTGGAGTCGGTGAACTCCATCTAGTATTACATAATGGAATCCCAAAATGCAATGCAAATTGGCAGGAAACATGAAATTTCCAAGAAATCAATGTCCAAGTAGGACATAAAAATAACTTATTTCAGTTATTTTTTTAAAAAAAAATTGTGTATGTGAAATAATGTAAAATAGCTCATATGAGTTATTTTTGAAAATAACTTGTTTAAGTTATGCCCCTGACTGTTTATCAAGAAATAAATTCCCACAACTTTCAAACAGTTATCACAGAGAAAAAAAAATTAAAAAATGGAAATATTTTTTTATAAAGTACGTGTCAGAACGGGCCTTAAGACCATAAACTGAAAACAGCTCAGTGTTTTCCCTAAGAACCGGCAACCGGCCAAATTGACCACTTCAATTGACAAAAATGCCGCTTTGAAATAACAATCTGTTTTAAGGTCCACAGAGATTTTGTTTATAAACCTCATACCCTAGACTTTTACAACTGATCTCTAGCCCTTTACTTTGACATAAAAGGAAAACACTGCAGCTACTAGTTGACAATATTGATGATATGTGTATAAAATCTAGCATAAAGACAACTTGTAGTTTTATGAAAGTATCATACTTTTTGTAACCTAACGCTTGACAGACAAGCGTTCTGGGCTCTCTCGGTAGCTCTTCTTATAGAAATACAAACGCATTTCCATAGAACTTTTTCAGCTTTCATTTACTTTTGACTTTATGTTTACTTTTTACTTTTCAGAAAATCATGAGATTTAAACTCAATTTTGTTTGACCATGTTGACAGAGGTGTGATTTAAATTTTATGATTTAATTAGGAAATAAGGTATCATTTTTTGAGTTTTATTGGGATGTAAAATGGATTGGTCACCTGATCAAATCTCATGTGCCAACCTGTTTTACATCCCGATAAAACTAAAAAAAATGATACCTTATCATGCTTATTACTTATATTTATATTTGTGACTTATTTATTATAAATACTAACGTACTAAACTGAAGTTTAAAACCCATAACGTTTTTTCTTCAAAACTCAACGGTATAAATTGAATGTTTTTATAATGTCAATCGCTAATGACGTCACTATCAAATTACGTAGATCGATTATTACTGAACAATCAATTTATGGTCACATGACCAACTTGTTTTACGGAGATGTAAAAACGCCTTGTTAAAATAGTGTTATATAAGGGAAAACATTTGCAAATTTATGTAAAATAATATTTAATTATACATGTATCTAACATGTTAAAGTTAAGACAAGAATTTGAAATCGAAGCTATGCAATATATTTCTGAAGTGAATGATAAATTAGCATAGTACTAAGTAAACAAACACTATGTCTGATTGTCATCAATCTTCTAGGCCCTACAGAAGCTGGGAAAATTACTGACAGACTCACAACACGTGGAGAAGATATGTAACAGCTGCAGAAGGAATGTCCTGGATCTGGTATATCGAGCTCGAGATGTCATCGGTGAGATACAGAACGAGACGTCGCAGAAAGATAAACAGCAGGTGTACTGTGTGGCCCTGGCCAGGATTCTGGAGATGTGTCCGTATATATTAGGGTATGGGATTCGTTTTCACATACAAGTAATTATAAGAAAAAATGTTCAACTGGATCACAATGCTTTTCATTCAGCACAATTTTCAAATTATTATTTTTATATCAATACCTCAAAATAGAATTTGGGACAATGATATGTGTATTATTTGCTTTATTGTCATTGAACAATCATATTTTATATATTTTTTACTTGCCAAATACTTAGAGTTTACTTTCTACAGACAATGTGGCAACCATTACTGTCTATCCCATAATGTTAATACTAGGAATCCAAGTAAATATATAGTTCATGTGTCATTTTATGTGGCAGGTTTGTGGACAGTTTTGTGAGGTCATGTGACAGTTTCTTTCATCTACATGATCATTTTGAAACCCAGGTATGTTTGATTTAAAGTGCTGGTTATCAAATTGAAAAAAGTAGTGTTACTAACTTAAACTCAAAAAACAGCTTTTTCAACATTTTCAAATTGCCAAATTCTTTTACAGTTTGTTCTTGACCTATCTAAAGCAACCTTGACCTTGACAAGAAGACTTCCCAGCATTCCCTTTGACCTACATTCTCTGTTGGAGTTTATGAAACAAGAAAAAGGAAAGCTAGGAACGGAGGCACTATGGTGAATAGTACTGAAGAATTTATTATAAAAGATTTATAGCTTTTTTGCAAATTTATCTCTGCACCAGTTTTCCATTGATAAGCATAATGAGTTTCAAGGTTGAAAAATTGAAAAGAATATGTTTTAATCCAGCATCTTGCTGTTTTAAAAATATATTTTTCAATGAAATGCTGCAAAGAGTCAAAGTTAAATATTGCAGTAATTTTTACATGTTTAGGAAAAAAGCATTGTGCTTGTCTAACAAAAATATAGTTTCAAACTAACTGAAGTGTAATGATATGATGTAGGAATATTCTTGGTGCCCTTGGGGAAGCCGTGCGGTTGTCAGGGAAACAGAAGAAGGACCTGCTACAGTTAATTCTGTTGTCAAGGGCAACCAAGGCACAGATAGAGAGTGGGGAGTCCCACAGGAAGAAGAAGAAACACAGCAGGAAGGACCGGGGAGGGGGGCAGCTGGGGGTCGTAACCATGGAGAATACTGACCTTGACTCGGAGATAGCTAGGTGTGCAGAATTCTGAGGATTAAAATGTTTGATTTTGATACAATTCAATTTGATGCTTGAAGTTGAATGTAATAAAGATGGGTTTAAAGCATATTTATTGTTTGATAGCAGCTGTTTAGTGTTTTACAATGAAGGGATAGTTAAGTTTGATAAATAAACTGGTGTATGTTAAAAAATTTTTCTTAAAGTTAACAAATAATTAAAAAAAAAGTTTTCAGAATGTTTTAGTAATATGTAAGAGAACAAAATTTTCACTTTGATTTTATGCATGTACTGGCTGTTTGTAGAATCTATACCCCTGCTGTTTCCTGTCCCCAGAAGGGAAACATAACAACAAGAATTGGTACCCTGTCTTCACAGGAAGTGACATCAGCAATGGAGGATCTGGACTCCAGGGAAGATCTGCTTCACAAAGACGTTGTCAGCGTGGCCGGACTTCTACTTCCTCGAGTTAGAAATACTGAAACTGAGGTTAGGGTTTGAATTGAAATATCTCATTGAGTTTGTTGTATTTTTCTTCATTCTGACTACTAAGATATAGTTTGATTTTCAAATTATTAATGATATTAAATCTCGCTATTAAAAAAATCAACTTTAAGAAAAACAAAGATTCATCCTCCCACCAAAACAATTTATTTTCAATAATAAATGCAGGACTTTAAGTAAGGTCCTTGGTAAATTTAAGCCTTAGTAATAGAATTTTTCTTCCTTTATGCTTGTAGGATCCCTGTAAACTGGTTCCCGTCTCCTCAATGACGGCCAATCTGCGGAGTTTGACTCTTGCTGTAGCGTCTGGTAATCCGGTTCTACTACAAGGACCGGTGGGCTGCGGGAAAACCAGTCTGGTTCAGTACCTGGCTCAGAAGGTGGGGAGGGTGGGGGCCCCGGAGTTTATGAAGATCCAGCTGGGAGACCAGACTGATAGCAAGGTTAGTGTTATTGTAGACCAGACTGATAGCAAGGTTAGTGTTATTGTAGACCAGACTGATAGCAAGGTTAGTGTTATTGTAGACCAGACTGATAGCAAGGTTAGTGTTATTGTAGACCAGACTGATAGCAAGGTTAGTGTTATTGTAGACCAGACCGATAGCAAGGTTAGTGTTATTGTAGACCAGACCGATAGCAAGGTTAGTGTTATTGTAGACCAGACCGATAGCAAGGTTAGTGTTATTGTAGACCAGACTGATAGCAAGGTTAGTGTTATTGTAGACCAGACTGATAGCAAGGTTAGTGTTATTGTAGACCAGACCGATAGCAAGGTTAGTGTTATTGTAGACCAGACTGATAGCAAGGTTAGTGTTATTGTAGACCAGACCGATAGCCAAGATAGCAAGGTTAGTGTTATTGTAGACCAGACCGATAGCAAGGTTAGTGTTATTGTAGACCAGACTGATAGCAAGGTTAGTGTTATTGTAGACCAGACCGATAGCAAGGTTAGTGTTATTGTAGACCAGACTGATAGCAAGGTTAGTGTTATTGTAGACCAGACCGATAGCAAGGTTAGTGTTATTGTAGACCAGACCGATAGCAAGGTTAGTGTTATTGTAGACCAGACCGATAGCAAGGTTAGTGTTATTGTAGACCAGACTGATAGCAAGGTTAGTGTTATTGTAGACCAGACCGATAGCAAGGTTAGTGTTATTGTAGACCAGACCGATAGCAAGGTTAGTGTTATAGTAGAACAGAAAGAAAGAAATCATCGAGATATTGTAGACCAGACAGATAGCAAGGTTAGTGTTATTGTAGACCAGACCGATAGCAAGGTTAGTGTTATTGTAGACCAGACCGATAGTAAGGTTAGTGTTATTGTAGACCAGACCGATAGTAAGGTTAGTGTTTTTGTAGACCAGACCGATAGTAAGGTTAGTGTTTTGTAGACCATACTGATAGCAAGGTTAGTGTTATTGTAGATCAGACCGATAGCAAGGTTAGTGTTATTGTAGACCAGACCGATAGTAAGGTTAGTGTTTTTGTAGACCAGACCGATAGTAAGGTTAGTGTTATTGTAGACCAGACCGATAGATAGCCAGACTGATAGCAAGGTTAGTGTTATTGTAGACCAGACTGATAGCAAGGTTAGTGTTATTGTAGACCAGACTGATAGTAAGGTTAGTGTTATTGTAGACCAGACTGATAGTAAGGTTAGTGTTATTGTAGACCAGACCGATAGCAAGGTTAGTGTTATTGTAGACCAGACCGATAGCAAGGTTAGTGTTATTTGTAGACCAGACTGATAGTAAGTCAGTGTTATTTGTAGACCAGACTGATAGTAAGGTTAGTGTTATTGTAGACCAGACTGATAGTAAGGTTAGTGTTATTGTAGACCAGACCGATAGTAAGGTTAGTGTTATTGTAGACCAGACCGATAGTAAGGTTAGTGTTATTGTAGACCAGACCGATAGTAAGTCAGTGTTATTGTAGACCAGACCGATAGTAAGTCAGTGTTATTGTAGACCAGACCGATAGTAAGGTTAGTGTTATTGTAGACCAGACCGATAGTAAGGTTAGTGTTATTGTAGACCAGACCGATAGCAAGGTTAGTGTTATTGTAGACCAGACTGATAGTAAGGTTAGTGTTATTGTAGACCAGACCGATAGTAAGGTTAGTGTTATTGTAGACCAGACCAGACCGATAGTAAGGTTAGTGTTATAGTAAGTAAGGTTAGTGTTATTGTAGACCAGACCGATAGTAAGGTTAGTGTTATTGTAGACCAGACCGATATAGCAAGGTTAGTGTTATTGTAGACCAGACCGATAGTTAGTAGACCAGACCGATAGCAAGGTTAGTGTTATTGTAGAACAGACCGATTTCAAGGTTATTGTTATTTGTAGACCAGACTGATAGTAAGGTTAGTGTTATTGTAGACCAGACTGATAGTAAGGTTAGTGTTATTGTAGACCAGACTGATAGCAAGGTTAGTGTTATTGTAGACCAGACCGATAGCAAGGTTAGTGTTATTGTAGACCAGACTAATAGTAAGGTTAGTGTTATTGTAGACCAGACCGATAGCAAGGTTAGTGTTATTGTAGACCAGACCGATAGCAAGGTTAGTGTTATTGTAGACCAGACCGATAGCAAGGTTAGTGTTATTGTAGATTGTAGACCATACCGATAGCAAGGTTAGTGTTATTGTAGACCAGACCGATAGCAAGGTTAGTGTTATTGTAGACCAGACCGATAGTAAGGTTAGTGTTAGTGTAGACCAGGCCGATAGTAAGGTTAGTGTTATTGTAGACCAGACCGATAGTAAGTTAGTGTTATTGTAGACCAGACCGATAGTAAGGTTAGTGTTATTGTAGACCAGACCGATAGTAAGGTTAGTGTTATTGTAGACCAGACCGATAGTAAGGTTAGTGTTATTGTAGACCAGACCGATAGTAAGGTTAGTGTTATTGTAGACCAGACATAGCAAGGTTAGTGTTATTGTAGACCAGACCGATAGTAAGGTTAGTGTTATTGTAGACCAGACCGATAGTAAGTCAGTGTTATTGTAGACCAGACCGATAGTAAGGTTAGTGTTATTGTAGACCAGACCGATAGCAAGGTTAGTGTTATTGTAGACCAGACCGATAGTAAGGTTAGTGTTATTGTAGACCAGACCGATAGTAAGCAAGGTTAGTGTTATTGTAGACCAGACCGATAGCAAGGTTAGTGTTATTGTAGACCAGACCGATAGTAAGGTTAGTGTTATTGTAGACCAGACCGATAGTAAGTCAGTGTTATTGTAGACCAGACCGATAGTAAGGTTAGTGTTATTGTAGACCAGACCGATAGTAAGGTTAGTGTTATTGTAGACCAGACCGATAGTAAGTCAGTGTTATTGTAGACCAGACCGATAGTAAGGTTAGTGTTATTGTAGACCAGGCCGATAGTAAGTCAGTGTTATTGTAGACCAGACCGATAGTAAGGTTAGTGTTATTGTAGACCAGACCGATAGTAAGGTTAGTGTTATTGTAGACCAGACCGATAGCAAGGTTAGTGTTATTGTAGACCAGACCGATAGTAAGTCAGTGTTATTGTAGACCAGACCGATAGCAAGGTTAGTGTTATTGTAGACCAGACCGATAGTAAGGTAGTGTTATTGTAGACCAGACTATAGGTTAGTGTTATTGTAGACCAGACCGATAGTAAGGTTAGTGTTTTTGTAGACCAGACCGATAGTAAGGTTAGTGTTTTTGTAGACCAGACCGATAGTAAGGTTAGTGTTTTGTAGACCATACTGATAGCAAGGTTAGTGTTATTGTAGATCAGACTAATATAGCAAGGTAGCAAGGTAGTGTTATTGTAGACCAGACTGATAGCAAGGTTAGTGTTATTGTAGACCAGACCGATAGGAAGGTTAGTGTTATTGTAGTCCAGACTTATAGTAAGTCAGTGTTATTGTAGACCAGACCGATAGCAAGGTTAGTGTTATTGTAGACCAGACCGATAGCAAGGTTAGTGTTATTGTAGACCAGACTAATAGTAAGTCAGTGTTATTGTAGACCAGACCGATAGCAAGGTTAGTGTTATTGTAGACCAGACCGATAGCAAGGTTAGTGTTATTGTAGACCAGACCGATAGTAAGTCAGTGTTATTGTAGACCAGACCGATAGTAAGTCAGTGTTATTGTAGACCAGACCGATAGCAAGGTTAGTGTTATTGTAGACCAGACCGATAGTAAGGTTAGTGTTATTGTAGACCAGACCGATAGCAAGGTTAGTGTTATTTGTAGACCAGACTGATAGTAAGTCAGTGTTATTTGTAGACCAGACTGATAGTAAGTCAGTGTTATTGTAGACCAGACTGATAGTAAGGTTAGTGTTATTGTAGACCAGACCGATAGCAAGGTTAGTGTTATTGTAGACCAGACTGATAGTAAGGTTAGTGTTATTGTAGACCAGACCGATAGCAAGGTTAGTGTTATTGTAGACCAGACCGATAGCAAGGTTAGTGTTATTGTAGACCAGACCGATAGCAAGGTTAGTGTTATTGTAGACCAGACCGATAGTAAGTCAGTGTTATTGTAGACCAGACCGATAGTAAGTCAGTGTTATTGTAGACCAGACTGATAGTAAGTCAGTGTTATTGTAGACCAGACCGATAGTAAGGTTAGTGTTATTGTAGACCAGACTGATAGTAAGTCAGTGTTATTGTAGACCAGACTGATAGCAAGGTTAGTGTTATTGTAGACCAGACTGATAGCAAGGTTAGTGTTATTGTAGACCAGGCCGATAGCAAGGTTAGTGTTATTGTAGACCAGACCGATAGCAAGGTTAGTGTTATTGTAGACCAGACCGATAGTAAGTCAGTGTTATTGTAGACCAGACCGATAGTAAGTCAGTGTTATTGTAGACCAGACCGATAGTAAGTCAGTGTTATTGTAGACCAGACCGATAGTAAGTCAGTGTTATTGTAGACCAGACCGATAGTAAGGTTAGTGTTATTGTAGACCAGACCGATAGTAAGGTTAGTGTTATTGTAGACCAGACCGATAGTAAGGTTAGTGTTATTGTAGACCAGACCGATAGTAAGTCAGTGTTATTGTAGACCAGACCGATAGTAAGGTTAGTGTTATTGTAGACCAGACCGATAGTAAGTCAGTGTTATTGTAGACCAGACCGATAGCAAGGTTAGTGTTATTGTAGACCAGACTGATAGTAAGTCAGTGTTATTGTAGACCAGACCGATAGTAAGTCAGTGTTATTGTAGACCAGACCGATAGTAAGGTTAGTGTTATTGTAGACCAGACTGATAGTAAGTCAGTGTTATTGTGGGAGAAACTCCCATATTCTGTAGAATCTAACAGAAAAATAGGTCAAACATTCATGTGTATTGATCATGGTTTCCTTTTATCAATGAATATAAACAATATTCATGTGTCAGTACAAGTTCATATATGTTAGTTATTGTTCAAAAAATTGTCTTCTCATTTCATTAACTGCGTAGTTTATGAGACTTTAATAGGCTGAAATCATTTCATGGTTGAAAAAAAAAATGGATTATGAATTCAAATAATGGAGAAAAGTATAAATTGTAAAATGAACTGATAGATTTTGCTAAATTTGATGGAATATAAATTGATGTTGATTTATTTCTGTAGGCTCTGTTGGGAACTTACCACTGTACGGACATCCCTGGGGAGTTTGTTTGGCGGGCAGGGATTCTGACGCGGGCGGTGACAGAGGGACACTGGATTCTTCTGGAGGACGTAGATTACGCCCCGATGGACGTGGTGTCGATCCTGCTCCCCCTCCTGGAGCGGGGGGTGCTGTCAGTACCGGGGCACGGGGACAATGTCCAGGCTCACCCAGACTTCAGAATGTTTGCCACACAGAGGTATATCTATCATGAAAGCTTATAAATCAAGTATCCTGAAATGTAAACTTGAGGAAAGCTTGTAAATGGCTGCATATAAATGTAATATCCAAAAGTCTTTGTGGATAATGTTTATGGGTAAAATTTTTGCTATCCATATGTTAATAAACTGTGTGTGTGATACTTATTTCGTGAAAGATAAAGACTTTACAAGATGTGTTTGTTTGTTGTTCTTAAAATATGTTTTTTTTTTATACTGTTTATGCAATTTTGTGACACTTTACTAAATACACAAAAATTTCCAACATGCAAACAAATCCAAATTCACATAAAGTCAAATGCATTGCAGAATTTTGTAACAAATACAGTATCTTTCTTTATAATTAAAATGACAATGTGTTGCAGGTTGCTGGGAGGTTGCAGTGGCTGGTACAGACAACAGAGCAGTAGTTCGGTGTTGCTGGAGAAGATGTGGACAAAGGTCAACATTCAGCCGCTGTCAAAGGTCGAGCTCCGTGAGGTCATCAACACCATGTTCCCACAGTTATCCACAGTAACAGATCGTCTGTTGGACATCTACTTCCTGCTGTCAGCAGGGAAACACGAGATCACGGGAGAGGAAGAGGAAGTGACGTCAACAGTGGGGAAGTTCCTGTCCAACGAAGGGCGTCTTATCTCTACCAGGTACTTAGAGGGTTTTCTGTGTATGTGTACATGCATTATGTTTTATAACTAGTTTTATGTTAACTGTTTATTATTATGACTGTGTTATGAATGTGAGGTCCTAAGATACCTTTCTTTAAAAAGAATACAAAGCATTCAAAACAAGTGCTTATTTGTATATTCATGTACAGTGTCTAACTAGCATTTCCCTGCATTTGATATTCTGAATTTGCCAAAATTTTCTTAAAACAGGCGGTGAAGCTGTCTTGGGCAAATTAACTCATGTTCAAAGTTTTGTGAAACTGAAAATCTGATTGTGTGTATGCTCTGACAGGGATCTGGTGAACTGGTGTCGTCGGATAGCCCTGGATTTTCAGATCCAGCAGACCTCCACGGCTGGACTGGTACTACAGGAGGCCCTGGACTGCTTCACCGCGTGTATCCCCCACCCCCAGAGACGAGTCCTGGTGGCTCAGGCCATCGGGGCCAAACTAAACATCACCCCAGACAGGGTAAGTCACCGCTTGTATCCCCCACCCCAAGTGACAAGTTTACCAAGCTCAGGTGATCGGGGTCAAACTTAACATCACCCCAGACAAGGTAGTCAGCTGTCCAGCTAAATTATAATAGAAGACGTTTTGTTTATGTGTCTGTATGTATCTATGTTAGATTACTGTTAAATTATGGAAAAGTAAATTTTATGTTCTGTTCTGGAGTTAAGAAAGATCAAGCACAGATTTGAACATTGTAGGCTGAGTACTTTTGCACTAAGTATAAACCGAGCACCGAGATCACAGTGGAGAAGTTTACAGTAGGCAGGGTGATTCTGGACAGACGAGTGCTGGACCCCTCACTTAATCTTGTCAGGTCTGTATTCAGTATCACTTGTTGTTGTTGGTGGTGCTGGTGGTAGGGGGGGGGTGGGTGGGTAGGTGGGTATTTATTTAATAAAAAGTTATTTTGAAAAAGGTTTAACTTGTATTATAACAGTTATAGTTTATATACCTGTATGTGTAAATGTTTTCTTCTTCTGTACAAAAATAAAGTTTTTGAATCAGTTGGTTTTTCTATAAGTCTAGATAAGGTTAAGCAAATTTTAATTTTTCGCATTTCTTTTAGAAAAGTTTCCCTCAAATAAATCAGTTTCCTAATACTAAATGATGTTCTAAGTATATTATTTGTTGATTCCACTTCAGGCCGAGGACAACATTTTCCTTTACCCGACAAGCCTCAGCATTGCTGGAGAGGGTTGCCATGGCAGTCAAGGAAAACGAGCCCGTCTTATTAGTCGGGGAAACAGGGACGGGTAAAACATCCAGTGTCCAGTACCTGGCTGCTCAATTAGGTAATAAATCAATAATGGCAGCTCAGTTAGATAATAACGTTAATTGTTCTTACTGGATTCTGTTATGTCTGTCTTTAAAAGGAAAATAGAGAATTATTAAAGATTTTAACTCTTAGTTATAAATCACGGTGGGAACTTAAGTAAGAAGTTCGGAACTTTTGAAAAATTTTTGGCCTCAAATCCTCGTCAGATTGAAGAAAGTCAAAAATTCTATTTCATGAAGAAATAAGTTTGTTCCTTGTGTACATAAAGTCAAGAAATATCAAGTACATTTTAAAGTAAATGGATAATGTTTAATTGACTACATTCATCTGTCCTCAGGTCATAAGCTGCGTGTGATCAACATGAACCAGCAGAGTGACAGCTCAGATCTTCTGGGAGGGTAAGTCACATTATTACACAGATTACTGAAATACGAAAGTAGGTCACAATGTTACACAGATTACTGAAATATGGATAATAAAGTTTATTTGCGCACAGAAATTATATTGAATATTTTCTCCACAGTGCAATGAATCACGTAACTTAACAACAGAATCTAACCAGGAACACAATATAAAATATTTAAAGAATATGTATTAAATAATTGTAAGAAATGATAAATTTTGGATTGTGATAAGAGAAGGACATCTCTCGTGTACTCCACACAAGCTTTGATTTGGAGCCTGAGGAATGTCTTGACTGTTTGTAGGTTTAAGCCGATGGACCTGAAGATAATCGTGAAGCCGGTGAAGGAAGAGTTTGAGTCTTTGTTCTGTTCCACATTCTCGGCCTCAGAAAACGCAAAATTCCTCAGTCACATACAGGTCAGACTTCTCTGTAATAGGCTTTAAACGTATACAATAAATATAACGTACATTTTCTTCTCGGAAAATCCATAGATTTTTCTGAACAGCCACAAGAAAAATCGTGCTGATCTGAAGAAAGTGAAGAAATTTATTTCAAAATTTGGCATGTCTTATGTATATTTAAGATCATATTAAAAATTTCTAAATTCAACAAATCTAATTTACAAATGTTCTTAAAGAAGAAAGAAATTTCATATTAGATGTTTTAAACTCTTTTTCTCTTACAGGAGAATTTCTCCCGAAGTAACTGGGCCAATTTATTTACCCTGATGGAACACACTGTAGAGCCTGCCTTAAAACGAGGCAAAGCAGGTCAGTTCTTATGTATACATACTACTTGTAAGATATGCCTTAAAAGGAGGCAACACAGATACATTGTATTTCCAAATATGAATTACTGGTAGCTTATTGATTAATTTCTTTAGAAGTGTACAGTCAGTACCGGTAATATAAAAGAATTATATGTAAAAGTATAACTACCAATAGTATGACTGGGAATTGTGGCTAAAGCACTGAAGTTTGTTTAACCATGTGGATGAATATAATATTTTTTTGTGCCAACTCCACTCAAAATATTATGTTATTCTTTAAAGATTCTTACTTCATTTTCAGGTAAACTTGATGCTGAGCTGCACACCAAGTGGAAGAATCTAAAATTCAGAATTATGCAGTTAAAACTACAGGTCAAGAGGTCAGAGAATGCCCTGACCTTCTCATTCATAGAGGTGAGTCTTGTGACTTATTGTACGAGCTTCTGTAACTTTGTATTAAATCGATAAGTATTAATGGGTCTTTTCCTGCAAACCATAATTAGACATCATCATGTATATAAACAGTGTATGTTGAAAGTTTAATATAGAAGTGTAATAAATGTATTGGTTGGTACCTATGTACTATACATGACTTGCTATGTTTTGTAGGGTACACTTGTTAAAGCTCTAAGACAGGGAGACTGGGTGTTATTGGACGAGATTAACTTAGCAGCAGCAGAAACTCTGGAGTGTTTGAGTGGATTACTGGAGAGTACAAAAGGCTCGATTGTACTCACAGAGAGAGGGTGAGTGGACTCAAGAGCTTATTTCACAATTTATGTCTCATGCATTAGAACTCATTTTATAAAGGAAGTTCCAGTTGACAAAGAGTCCTAGTCTCAATTTCATTAAAGAAGATGGGGTAAAATACACAGTGTCACATATTTATTCTTCAAAATGAGAAATCTTAAAGTATTGCATGAATATGAACTTTAATTTTCCTGACTTGTAGTGACATCTCCCCGATACAGAGACATGAGAGCTTTAGGATTTTTGCCTGCATGAACCCGGCTACAGATGTGGGGAAGAAGGATCTACCTATAGGTGTCAGAAACAGGTCTGTCAGCTGATTTGAACATATTTTGTTTTGTAATTAATAATGAAAATATTTTAAAAAAAACCTTCCTGCTCTTGAAATAAATTCCATGTCCAACTACAAAACATTGAATATATTTATATAACAAGTTTACAGAATTTTACTTATCTTACTAAACACAAGTTTGTAATAAACTATATGTAAATGTTAATGCATTCACAGATTTACTGAGTTTGACTTGTGTTTCAGGTTTACTGAGTTTGACTTGTGTTTCGGTTTACTGAGTTTGACTTGTGTTTCAAGTTTACTGAGTTTGACTTGTGTTTCAGGTTTACTGAGTTTGACTTGTGTTTCAGTTTTACTGAGTTTGACTTGTGTTTCAGTTTTACTGAGTTTGACTTGTGTTTAAGTTTTACTGAGTTTGACTTGTGTTTCAGTTTTACTGAGTTTGACTTGTGTTTCAGTTTTACTGAGTTTGACTTGTGTTTCAGGTTTACTGAGTTTGACTTGTGTTTCAGTTTTACTGAGTTTGACTTGTGTTTCAGTTTTACTGAGTTTGACTTGTGTTTCAGGTTTACTGAGTTTGACTTGTGTTTCAGTTTTACTGAGTTTGACTTGGTTTCAGTTTTACTGAGTTTGACTTGTGTTTCAGTTTTACTGAGTTTGACTTGTGTTTCAGGTTTACTGAGTTTGACTTGTGTTTCAGTTTTACTGAATTTGACTTGTGTTTCAGGTTTACTGAGTTTGACTTGTGTTTCAGTTTTACTGAATTTGACTTGTGTTTCAGGTTTACAGAGTTTTACGTGGATGAGTTGGAGGAGGAACAGGACTTGAGGATCCTGGTCAGTGACTACCTCTCCCCGCTCTCCCTCACCCCCACCCACATCCAGGGCATCGTCAAGTTCTACCTCACCGTGAAGAAAGCGGCCATGGACAAACTGACGGACGGGACCGGACACAAGCCTCACTTCAGTCTCAGGACACTGTGTAGAGCTCTGAGATTTGCAGTGTCAAATCCGTGTGGACAAGTGTCCAGGTCTCTGTATGAGGTATGGAAGATGGAACATTACAGACATTAAATAAATATACTCATAATAGTACTATAATCATAATCATTTGTGATGCAAAATAAAATGTATTCAAAGATGCGTTTCGATAGTTTAGAAATTTTTTATAGAATGCTAGTTTTAAAAAAAAAGTCATAAATTTCTCTTACTGATAGGAGAAATAACTAGATATAATTTGATTTTAATTATAACACGTCATTTGATTGGATAAAAATTTTTATCCATTTAATTTAATATTACTTGCCTATGTCACAATGAGTTACGTCAAAAAGCGTATTACTCCGCTTGACGTTACTTTTAAAATTTAATCAGTGTGAACTCGTTAAGCCTTATTCTGGGAGAAAAATTGTATCATTATCTGCACTGGAATTAAATTATAAGGAATGAAGCTTATTTCAACTTACCTGGTATATTATACGATATAACAAAACTTGGGGCAGTTAACGCTTTTTTATATACCGCTTTGCGGTTTATAAAGTGTAAACTGCCCCAAGTTATGTTATATCGTATAATATAAGTTGAAATTACCTTCATTCCTTAAATGAATAAAAGATGTTTTGCTTTATGTACATAATTGTATATTAAGACTTTGAAATTGGAAATATTCAATGCATATGAATTTGATTTGTTATTTTCCAGGGATTCTGCCTGAGTTTCCTGACCCAGTTAGACAGAGCCTCCCACCCCCTGGTCGTTAACCTGATCACCCAGCACATCGTGGGAAAGTCCAACATCAAGTCCCTCCTGAAGCAGGGGATCAGAGAGCCGCTAGAGGGAGGGTGTCTACAGTTTGAGGGGTACTGGGTGTCACAGGGCCGGGCCCTGCCCACCGTCCCCAGTAACTACATCCTGACCCCCTCAGTCAGGGCTAACCTCAGGGACCTCGCCAGGGTCGTGTCAGCGGGGTAGGTCACAAGCTCTGCAAATTTACATGGGAATGTTCTTTTATAACTCATAGTTTATTAAACTTATACATTTACTTTTCTAATATGTAAATTTTCCTTCATGTAGTGTTGAAATATATTTTTATCACTTGTATTTCCATAATACCGGTATTTTAATTTAAAATAAAACAAAACATAGAAGAAATAAAAATTTGAACCCTAAAACAGATGTAGAACTAAACTCTTATGTATTTTTGTCTTCTAAACACAGACAGCACCCAGTTCTTCTGCAGGGGGAGACCTCGGTGGGCAAGACGAGTCTTGTGAATTATCTAGCTCGGAGCAGCGGGAACGTGTGTGTACGGGTGAATAACCACGAACACACGGACCTACAGGAGTATGTAGGGTGTTACTCCGCAGACCAGTCAGGCAAACTCGTGTTCAAAGAAGGTCAGTACACACTGATACATATGTAGGAATTGAGCCTCTCATATTCAAAATCTGACAAAAAGAGAATTGCATGGCATCTAAATTTTATGCATTTATTAAAAACATGTTAAAGAAAAATTCTTCAGTAAAATTTAATGGGGGATTTGATACCTTCAGTATTTGTACATGTAAACTTTATTTTTCTCTGTAAATGATACTGTTGAATGTTTAACTGTTGATGGGAATTCAACTGACATTTTATGGCCTTCCTTTATACAGGTGTCCTGGTTGAGGCCATGAGAAAGGGACACTGGGTTATACTGGATGAGCTGAATCTGGCTCCTACAGACGTTTTAGAGGCCCTCAACAGGGTAATTTCTACATGTACCAGTTTCATTTCCCATCATATATTTGTTATTGAACCTCTCACAATGGTTCTCATTTCTTTACCCTATTAATCAAAGCAAATTATGTGAAAAGCTGTTATTTTACTGTTGTGGATGTAAACTTTATGATTAATTCACATGTATTATTGTATATTCCTGTGTATACCTCAGCTTCTGGATGACAACAGAGAACTCTTTATCCCTGAGACCCAGGAGACAGTGAAGGCTCACCCTAAGTTTATGTTGTTTGCCACACAGAACCCCCCGGGGCTGTACGGGGGACGTAAGGTAGGGGGCTTATTCATGTTGTTAAACTAGGTATTCTTAAAGACAGAGTCTGATTTAAGGTAGTTCTATACTCGGCACTAAATGGGCTCAATCTTTAAAAATCTGCTTTTATAAGATAGACATACATCCAAGCAATGGATAGACACAAGAAAAATTATATGTCAACATGTTCACTTTTCCGCTATAGCCTATTGGAGTATTTACCCCGAAATGTAAAATACTGAAATTTTACCTATCCTAGATTTTGTTGTATATAAATTAATTTAAGTCTAAATATTCAACTTTAATACCCAAAATAGAGTAGAAACATGTTATTAAACAATAAAATATCATTGTTTTGCATGAATTATTGTAAATAGATGCACTTTGTTAGGCTATCGTATCAAAATTTTATGTGAGAAAATATGCTTCACAGGACAATCTCAGTCATTTAAAAAAAAAATTATGGACTCAAACTTCGTAAGTTTGCATTATTTTTACTAAATTATATTTAAGGTAGGTCCGTACTTTCAGAATTTTCTGTCAAACTCTTTATTTTTTGATTTGAAAATCTTGAATAAGTCATAATCTAACTAAAACACCCATAAAAAACATATCTTTGCAGGTTAATTTTCATGCAACATATCTTGGAGTATATACCTCTAAAAATTCAACAGCAAAAATTCAACATATAGAAGTGTAACATCATATTTTATTTAGCAATGTCCCAAATCACATCAAATTATTGTTAAAACTTAAGAAAATCATAAATATTCATTTGTCAAGAAAATATTTGAAATTTCTATTTGAAAACACTAAAAAATTTATGTTGATTGTCAAAATCTCTCAGAGAAAAAGCTCAAAATATCTTTATTTAAAAATATTTCTCAAAATCTTATATGTTTATATGCTATTTTTTCTTCACAATTATTTAGAATTATATCTTAGGTTGGCAAAAAAACATACTTTATTATGGTTGACCAGAAAATTTTTATAAAACAGCCTTTTGAACACCTATACCCCCATTTTTGGAATATCTATTTTTTCAATTGTTCTTCGCAAAACGTATTAAAAAGTAAATTTAAAAAGATGATATAGGCTAAAAATTAAAGATAAATAGATCTCAAGTTAGTTTGTTTAAAAAAATTGAAAAGCTTTATGTCCATAAAGACAATTAAGAATTCTGTCTGTTTATGTACTAAATTACATATAGATCCTATGAACAGAGTGCAAAGTGGTTATTCCTATAAATAATGTATATTAAATGCTTTGTGTGCACAATGACACTATAACAAACAAATATATACTTGCTAAATTATTTTTAATCATCCAAAAAGATTTTTTTTTCAATAGATAAGGATAATCAAAATTTTATATTGGTGTGTAAAATTAAAACCGGATCCGTAAAAGTGTGGACCTGCCTTAAGAAAAATAATAAGCTTAAAAAAATTATATGCTGACGCATTACTTTTCATGGTATGAGCTCTAAACTAAAGGGACCCCCCTATTTTCTTTCTTTCAGATTGAAGTAATATATTGCCACATATTTCTGTAATACTGTTAATGTTTGAGTGTATACCTGTATTAACAAGGTTGAACATTATTTAAAACAATAATTATAAACACCCAAAACCTATTGTCCCTAAAATTTATCTTATTTTACTCAAAAAAAAAAAAAAATAAATAAAACGCACTTGTCTTTAAATTGGAGACGATGAAAATGAAAGTAATTCACTGATTCTCAGAAACTGGATAATTTCTTACAGAAAGTAACAAAGTATGCTGCAAGTGAATCAACTTTTGTCAAATACTTATTCAAAAGATAATTTTGCATTGGGATTCGTGGGTAAGCAGGTTGGGGGAGGGGGTATGTGTTTTATGCAATTATTATTATTTAAAGTAAATTTTGTATTGTTTGATAAGTAAAATCCATAAATTTTCTATGTCAAATCGTAGTCATTACTTTTCTTCTGAATTATCACTATTAGCTTCAACTTGGCCGCCGACAATAGTCGCCTCGATAGTTTGATACATGATGTAGCATGTATATGGTCCGTGTTTTAGACACGGCATATCAAACATGCAGCCTCACATGCATCATTCACAGAAATATCGTTTTATTACCTAATTATATTTCTGTCAACCGAAAGTTGTTCCCAGCCTAATCTTTTTAATTTATCCTTAAACTGTAGAATATGTGTTTGTTGACGCGACCGACTTCGAGCAAAATCCTTATCGGATATTTAAAACGCTAAGTAAAAGTCAAACCAATATATACTGTTATAAACTCTCATCATGGAAAAAGGAAGCGCTGTTCCGGTTTTACTATTCGTAAATGACGTAGTGCGAGTATAGACCTACGAGGGTCATTCAAAAAGTTCGTAGACTTTTGTCCTTACTTTTTTATTAAACGTCATATTATATCCAAATTTGGTACAAATGTTTTAACAACAGATTCAAATAATTTGAGTAAAAAAATTAGAATGTATCTTCATATTTATTAAAATTACGAAGGATTTAGAACAGCAAAAATGGGGTCACGGAGCACGGTCAAAATTGAGTAATTTTCTAATTTTCACTTTTCAGTATTTACAGCTATACCTTAAATAATTGGAGCTGAAACGAAATAAAATTTACATGTTTAAACAAATTATTGCTGTAATATCTCGCTCCATTTAAAAGATATCAGCTTCTAAATACATATAGACTTGATTAAAAAAGGCAAAAAAACCATGACGTTGGAGGACGTCACGGAGCAGCAAGTAGCAATAAAATTAGACTTTACATTCGGAAAACTTCTTCTACAAGCTCAAAAAATTCTTTTAAACCAGGAACTGAATGAAAAATAATCTGTGTATTTGTATTAAATTGAAAATACAATTTTTGAGTGGTAGCGAGTTTGAATCGGACGATGGATCGACTGCAAAGAAACATGTTTAAGTTAAAAATATTGTCAAAAGAGTAAGATCGTCATTGAACGTAATGTGTGCTTCAATGTTGCAGAAATAACAGAGTTGCATGGTAAATTAAAGAATTTGAAAACAATAACATTCTAATTTAAGCTATATTTGTACAATTGTTAGCAAACTAGGTGTTAAGTGTTGTGGATATGTGTTTTAAATAAATAAAGACGCTTCAAACCATTTTTGAAATATAAAATAAAGAGTATACTTTTGACAAACTTTCTCAGCGTAGATTTTGACGTTACAATATTGGTAAACCGTGCTCCGTGGTAACAAAACATGTTGCTTTAAATTTTGGCCGACACGAGTTCTATCTAATCAAATAAAATGAAACTTCACACTTCGACAAAATAAATGTTTATGTTTACGAAAATGTGTTGATCTATAACCTTTAATAATCATATGACGATGAGAAGAATTGTCTACGTATTTTTTGAATGACCCTCGTACTTTAATTTTTTGTACTGCTGAAAGTTTTAATTTTTATGCATACATGTACTTGATTTTTGCACATATAAGTCACATTTATCTACTTGAATTCAGTATGTTGACATCTTGTCTGAGTTTTCTTTTTTTTAATAAATTATTAAAATTTGACACAAGTTGAAAGAGGAAATATTTTACAGAATTATTAATTCCTATTTTACTTACAGATTCTGTCAAGAGCGTTCAGGAACCGCTTTATTGAGCTCCATTTTGATGAGATCCCGAGTTCTGAGCTGGAGACAATCCTCCATCAGAGATGTGATCTACCGCTGTCCTACGCCAAACGACTGGTGGCAGCCATGTTAGATTTACAGGTAGGGTTTGTATACTGGTATTGTTTGAAATGTTTGTGTCTGCATTGTCTGTATGTATCAGAGTATAGGTCTGAGATTTGTAATTTGTGTAAAGTTATTTTGAACAAGCATTTGCAAGTGCTATAAGAGGAATTTTAAACATAATCACTGAACAAAAATTTTATTCCATGTACATAGAGAAACCAAATCTGATAGGTGAATTTTAAATTTTCTTCTTTAATCTCTTGTGAATAGTACATGTATGATTTAAGTTGTCCAGGAAGAAACGATCGCTAATCTCTTGTGTATTTTGCTACAGACCAGAAGACGAGGTTCGGGAGTGTTTGCGGGGAAGCAGGGCTTCATGACCCTCAGAGACCTGTTTAGGTGGGCGGATAGATACAAGTGTAAAGAGGTCAAACTGGAGAGGAAGTTCTATGACTGGGACCAACACATGGCAGATCATGGTCTGTATATTATTATCTTGTCGAGTGTGTTAAAGGGAGATAATCTACATTGTGTTGTTTGAAAATAATATTAAAGTAAATGTGTCTTAAGTATGCATTATAACCATACAGATGTTTGTAAGTTCGGTGAATGAATTCAAAGAAAATAAGATTATAACTGTTCAAAAAATATATTTAGGCTTAATGAGAAACATAAATCAACCGACAAGTACATGGTCACAGATGATAAATGTTTGATTTGCATTAAATATCATTTCTTAGACTAATTATAGTATCTCCTTCTTGTACAGGCTACATGTTGCTGGCGGGCAGAGTGAGAAAACCTGAGGAGGCGGACATTGTACAGGAAGTGATCCAGAAGCATCTCAAACGCAGTGTGGACCCTGATCGACTGTTTACGCTGAACGCTGAGACGTCCCCTACCACGGTGTCGATACTGCGGAGGGTGATGGGAGACTCGCCACAGGGGTTTGAACACGTGGTGTGGACGTACGGGATGAGACGTCTGGCCGCACTGATTGGTCATGCTGTACAGTTCAGAGAACCTGTTCTACTGGTCGGGGAAACAGGGTAAGGCACATATCTCATGTGGTAAATCAGAAGAGCAAAATCATAGAATAGGACTTACTTCAGTGTATTTAATGGTAGAAGAAAGCATTGGGTATATTTATCCAAAGTTATCATGTAAATAGGTCATCTTTTTGACATGCACAAAATACACATTGAATTCTCTTTTGCTCCATAAACTTAAAAGTTAAAGCCTTTTCAACATTTATTTAATTATCTCGAATGGTCTATTTCGCACTATGTACATATATACATACATTCAGACCTTTATATTAATTTTGATAAAAAGTCATCCATATTTATTATTTAGTTGTGGTAAGACAACCGTCTGTCAGCTGTTGTCCCGGTTACATGACCTTGACCTACATTCCATTAATTGTCACCTTCACACAGAGAGTGCCGATTTTTTGGGAGGACTTCGACCGTGTCGGTCTCACAGCGAGGAGGTAAGTGTACTGACAACAATGATCTAGTTACATAAAACCATAAAGGACTTCATGTCCATCTTTGTGTTACAAGAGAGAAAAAAATGATAAAGTATCAATTCCATCAATTAAACAAAAAAGCAAAAACAATCAGATTATCCTTATCCACTCACAAGATGGACACAGACTATTCCATGAAACATTAGATAAAATCACTTATCATACATTGATTTCATTAATTTTAGGATTCAGACACAGATTATAATATGGTTATTTGTAGGATACAGTTGGTCCTAAGAAGTTGTTTGAATGGGTGGATGGTCCTCTGGTCAATGCTATGAGGCGGGGGGATATGTTCCTTATTGATGAGATCTCGCTGGCTGATGACTCAGTGCTGGAGCGGCTGAACAGCGTACTGGAGCCTGAGCGGACCCTCCTACTGGCAGAGAAGGGCGGGGAGGATGGAGGGGGGAATCAGGTGGAGGTCGTAGTCGCAGCTGATAGGTTCCATGTGTTCTCCACCATGAATCCTGGTGGGGACTTTGGTAAAAAAGAGGTAACCTAGCTATTGGTTGTTTATTTATAGCCTGCTGAAATTACAGTGAAGGAGTAAATAATTGGTTGTTTACATTGTATTTATAGTTTGCTGAAATTACATATCTTTTATCTCTCATTAGTCCATGATCTTAGTTTGATAGTTTTAATTATTGTCTTCATAGACTTTCACCTGCACCAAAAATTTAAATTCCAAAGAAGGATAACTCTGTCAGTATAATGGCTCATTGAGTACTATATATAAACAAGTAACCTATATTTGTACTTTCCATAGAATCAAGAAGCCTTAAGTACATGTAGCTTATTTAAAAACCTTGACCCCTCTTTAAATTATTTCACAGTGTGGGAGTACATTTGAACAAAATACTTTGAAGTTCAGTCATTAGAATCATATTAGTTTTACAATTTATTAATATACAACAGTACATCATTTAGACATTATTCTATCCCATTAAAAGTAATTCTGGTACAAAATCAAAAATATCCAATAATTTTCTTTCTTCAATTGACAGTTATCGCCTGCTCTAAGAAACCGGTTCACAGAGATCTGGTGTCCACAGACCAGTGAGCGAGCCGACCTGATACGCATCATTGAACACAACCTGTCGCCCGGTATTCACCTTGGTAACCAGGAGGACGGGACCAGTGGTGTGGGGCGGGTCATCATGGACTTTGTAGACTGGTTCACCAATAACGATCTAGGGAAAAGGTCAGAATGCCACTTAATTTAAATAATAGATAAATAATTGTATATTTGACACATTTATTGTAATTGCAGTCTATCACTCAAAAAGTAGTAAATGAAACAGCAATATGTCATGATGCCTTTAGACTAAGTTTGAAATTGCCAATTTTGATCGATCTAGAGAGTTTTAAGCATTGACAGTAGGCTAAAATAAAAATTTGTGGCTCTACCTACTGAACCTTTAGTAATGATTAGGGTAAAACAATGTATTAGTTTGAATCTACATGTACTGTATCTCGATGTGGTTTTGATTGTAGATGTACTGTGAGTATCCGTGACATCCTGTCCTGGGTCAACTTCATCAATGTCTGCTCCATCAAGATAACCCCAGATGCCATGGAGATGGAAACCGGTTATAACCAGTTAGAACCAGTTGTGGCCTTAATCCACGGAGCGTGCCTGGTGTTTCTAGATGGTCTTGGAGCAGGTGATATGATGATATCATTCTTTACATTTTGATGTTTCCAATGAAAGTCATTGTATTAGGCCAGAATTAAAAATATCTTTGTTTCCCCTAACCCGACCCTGAATTTTCAAGGTGGGTCGGTAGGTAGGTAAACAATTTTATTTTCTTACAGCAGCTTTTAAAATACATTCTAAAATTTAATAGAAAATTACCTTTATAAATAAGAAAAGTGCAAAAGAAAGGGATTTGTGAACAAAATGCTAAGTTTCGTACAAATGCCTTTTTTAAATAGCAAAATTCATGATTAATTAATTCACAACTGTTATTTAGTTGAACTTGTGAAATATGTCACGCCAGAGTACATACATATAGATCGAAAAAATAAAGAAAAGATTCTCAAATATGCAGAGACCGGAGATCCGACTATATTTTTTGAAACCCTCCATCAGCCCTCAGTGCTTATATACAATCAGTGTACTTTTGAGGGCCATGGGACTTGCAGTGGTTCCAGAGCATTTTGCTTTGGAGTTAAGAAGTAAGTGTCACTCTTATATTTTAAGTCGCAGGTCCAAATACCAATGAGGAACGTTGAAAACAGTCCTTCAAAGGGGACCATAAAAACTTAAATGTCCAGTCTCGCAAAAGACGCTGGATCAAAAAACATTCCTTATTGTATAATGGCAAAAAGTGCTGAGTACGTCTAAATATGGAGCAATAGGGAAATGTTCAAACAAATGTCGAAGGGATTAAAAGCAAAGAAACAGTCAATCTTCATGAGTGTAAATAACGAAAACTACAGTGGGCGTCTCAGGAGGCTGAATAATGAATTCCTATTTGCACAGAGTATGTGAACAATATTTAATTGAACCAAACCGAATCTACAAATGATAAAAATGCTACATGTATATACAATGCCATAGTCACGAAGTTTAACCCATAAATAAAGGCATGAAGAAAGGAAATCTAAATTATATTTTAAATTTTAGGATAAATATGCAGACACATTTACAACAACTCTTACGGTTCCGTAATGGCATATATTAAACATACGAACATAGATGAACTGGTTATTATTACATTAAAACTCAAATAAATCTAAGTGAAATTGAATGATGTGTTCACTAGGTGGGCCCCTCATCTGCTCATTAGGGGGCTTACCATGTATTACGTACCTTAAATTCAAAGACAGGTTTGTTTGTTGTTTACCGTCCCTTTCGAAAATTTATTCACCAACACAGAGAAGACAAGAAACTTTCTTAATTAGTCATGGTAAATTCTTTTATTAAATTGTTTAGAGAGTGAAGAATTCTAGTTAGCTGAAGGCATAAGATTGAGACGTCACTGTTGTTTAATTAAGAACTAATTCTCAGTAATCACATCTGGGAGCCATTTTTTCAACAAATTACGGTAGAACAATGTCCATCGTTTTGCTAAAACTGATTTTGATGAAAATTTATTTCATGAAACTTGGTTAACAATAAAAAAAAATATTCGAATCTTCTAATTTAAAAAATCTTTTCAGTCGGTGCATTTTAATTGGGTCGGTCGCGTTAGGGGAAACAAAGGTATTTTTTATTTTGGCCTTAGAATGTTTTATGTATAAATCTGTCAGTTACCGTAGCAGTTGCTGTTAATAATTTTCATTTACATTTAATAATTTCACAAAATTATTTTTTTTCCTTTCATCAAATTCACATTTATTGATATTACATGTAAAATCACCATGTTTTGACGTTTTGCTTACTAAGGGACCACCAGTAGGGGTCGTGACTCGGATATCTCGAGTCTGAGATCCGCCTCTCTGTGTCACCTCCTACATCTCATCAACCAGATATCTCACCAGTCACATGACCTCAAATCTCTTGGACTATTGGACAAGGATTCTGGGGACTTTGAGGGGATAGTTAAGGAGACACCAGATGCCTTTTGTGTTTGGCCCTACAGCATCAGTCGAGGTACTGAGTTCTTAAATAAAGTAAAAAATATCATAGCTAATTAATTTGATATGATTCAATGCAAGAAAATAGTGTAAGTTTGAACGAGCATTTATAAATGAGCTTGAATATATGCACCAGGCAAGTTCAACTTATTTGTACAGTACATATAAACAAGCACTGTAAATACTAGTGTTGGCAAATCGGACGATTTTTAGTAACCGGTTACTCGCTCAACCTTCCGATCGAGTACCCGGTTACTCGGATGATTTATTCATATGTATCATTTATCTCATCTTTTAATCATCGGTTCTAATAAAACCCAAAGGTATTGTGAATTAACTTTATTTATAAACTTAAAAAGAACACGCAAGCAATATCTATAATTTTAAATATAATTATAATCAAAAGATTAATTAAATCAGAAGAAAAATAAATATTCAATGTTTCACATTATTTTACAATGGCGTTCATCAGTTTTACTTTACAACCCCCGACATATGTCAAGAACAAGCAAAATAATTATTTAGAAATTTGAAGTCACGATAACTCCGATTCATATTAATTACATTTCACAGGTATGGAATCAGCTGTTCTTTTAAAATTCTTCCAAGGTATAGATGTCCTTGGCGGCATCTTGTTAAATTTTTTAATAAGATAATTATGACTTGACAATCAAAGCTATCAATTGAGTGTGAAAACCAATTAATCGTATTAGTGAAACCGTAGATCAATAAGTGTAACCGTAAATAAAATAAGAGAAATGTTTATTTGTACGCTTATAAATAAATTAGCATTTTATTTTTTAGTTATTTATCATATAAGATGCATTTTATCCGAGTAACCGAATAGCAATTTTACTAACCGATACTCGCATCGTTCGACGGTTAACCGGTTACTCGTTGCCAACACTAGTAAATACACATAATATTGTCTAATTGAGCAGTTTATTGAAAATTGGCAATTATGAAATGCATACTGATTGAGTGGAACTATTAAGTTTCACTACCTAACTAGTAACTTTGTTTCTTGGTACATGTAGATGTGAATTCTCTGTGTTATAATTTGTTACAGGTGAGCTTGAGACTGGTTTAGATGATAAATATGCCCTGCAGGCCCCCACCACCTGTGTGAATGCCCAGCGAGTCCTGAGGGGCCTACAGCTGCCCCGCCCCCTGCTCCTGGAGGGATCCCCGGGGGTGGGGAAGACCAGTTTGGTGGCAGCCATCGCTAAAGCAGCGGGGAAGGAACTGGTCCGCATCAACCTATCAGAACAAACGGTGAGCCATGAACCAATATAAATCTCAGTAGTGAGGCAATATTTTCCAATTTATTATATTAACTCTGTCTGATCTAGACTTTTTGGATGAGGTACAGAAAAAATATTGAAACTTTTGATTCGGACAACTTAAAATTTACAGTGTAGTACAGTGTACATGTACAAATTTTACATTAAATTTTAAAATGTATTTAAGGCCATGCAAAGTTAATTCCTTGGTTCTCAGGCCTTTTTTCAAGAAATATGATAAGGGAGGGAGGCATTTTTTTTAATACTTTTTATTGCCCCCAAAACATGATGACTGAGGCAGCTTTTTACATTGTACAAAATTTCAAAAAATAATGAGGGAGGTGATTTGGTGTTTCTATTTTATTGGTTTAGCAATAAAAAGGGTCAATGAGGCACCCTTGGAAGCGATGAAGGAGGGCCTGAGAACCAAGAAATTATTTTTTTTTTTTTTGCCTAATGGAGCTATCACACTGTTGTATAAAAGTAAGCCCTATTCCATTATACAAGGGGCCTTCAATAAATAATGTCATCGGGGCTCAGAAAGAAGCAAACAACGCTTTTCAATGATTTAGTCTTCACGATTTTACTTATAAATCTATTTTAATTCAAATACATGTCCGTAAAATTTTTTTATCCAATTTCTGTTTGTTTTTAGAACTCATTTTTGGGTACTACCCTGAGTATATTGGAAAATGGCAGATCCAATGATTTCCTGGAGTTGTTTTTTCCTTCTGAAAGGTGTTTTATTCAAGTTTGGAAATAGAAACAAGTCAAAAGGTCAAAGATGTGGCAAATATTATTAATGTGAAAAAACATTAACTTTCTGTTTATCCCATAAAGCCCTTTACTCTTTAGGGCATGCGGGTTTAAACGCTGTAGTGAAGAAATTCAATGTAGTGGGTTCCTGATTCTGGGTCCTTTCTCTAATAAACCTTTGTAATTCGATTTCTTTGCAAAAAAACTGCTTTCTAGACACCTCCAGATATTAAACTGTCTCCCCGAATACGAATTTGAACAACAATACCACTAATATTTAAGAAAATTGCATATAAATATGTTTTTGTTCTCTTGCATACCTTTGCTCTTGACAGACCTTCGCCGTTTTTATCAAGTTCATCTTATGGTAAATTTTGTTTAAATGGTTTTGAGCAACAGATTCATGTTCCAATATCTGTTTGAATATAAAACAATCATGGATTACTACAATTACTGATATTTTAAAATAATTGTTAACTTAAGACTTTTGTACACGCTGTCGTTTTCACTCATTTTTCAAAATACAGGGTGACCTTAGAGTACAAAGCTTAATTACTGTCAAACATTTCTTAAAAACAGTGTAAAATACCCCCGATATGATGTCTATAAAATTTGCTATGTGTCTTAAAGTCAATCATACAACATCAAATATTATTTGGTAAAATTTGGCAAACAGTGCATAAGTTGTTATAATTTTTGTTGGCAAGGAGGGTACCCATTTTTGATGCCCATTATATAATTTTTTATTTTTCAAATCCACCTGCTAATTTGTCTATAAAACAGGCAGCGGTTGCTGTAAATGTCACATATTTCAGTGAATATTTCTTTGGGATTTCTAACAAGTTTTACAGCAGCTTTAATGTAGGTTTTATTTTCACTCTAGTTTACTGATTCTTTACCATTCATTTATAATGCAGTGACTCGTTTCCCAGCTTCTCACGATAAAACTTTGTGATGAAAAGTTGTCACATAAACTGTTATAAATTTATTAAAGATTCAATAATGAGAAAAAGTCAAGCTTTATGTCATATGACTACTATGTTGTAAGTCATCGAGCTAATGACATTATTTATTGAACGCCCCTCGTATGTTGCATTTGAAAATTTGTTTTGAGTGTGTTTTTATTTTATGACAGGATGTAACAGACCTGTTTGGGGCTGATTTACCTGTGGAGGGAGCAGAAGGGGGGAGGTTTGCCTGGAGGGACGGTCCACTGCTGAGGGCCCTCAAACTAGGTCACTGGGTCGTACTGGATGAGGTAAGGCTCTCAAACTAGGTCACTGGGTCGAACTGGAAGAGGTAAGGTCTCATGGGATAGATTACACTCTGGACATCTTAGATTTACATAATCTGTCATGTACTTAAAATGAATGAATATACGTGCATAGAGAACTGCATTTATTTAGATTTGATAAGGAAATAATATTTACTTGAATGCTGAATAACCCTTCTGAAGCAGTTTGATTGTTTTTTTTCTAATAAACAGTACTGATAAAATTTCACATGTAACAATATTTAAATCTTTGTGATACAGTTAAACTTGGCCTCTCAGTCAGTGTTGGAGGGACTTAATGCCTGTCTGGACCACAGAGCTGAAGTCTTCATCCCGGAACTGTCCAAAACCTTCCACATCCAGCACCAGAAGACCAGGCTGTTCGCCTGTCAGAACCCACTCAACCAGGGCGGGGGCAGGAAGGGGCTACCCCGGTCATTTCTCAACAGGTTCACACAGGTATGTTAGAACCCACTGAACCAGGGCGGGGGCAGGAAGGGGCTACCCCGGTCATTTCTCAACAGGTTCATATAGATATGTAAGAACCCCCTCAGCCAGGGAGGGGGCAGGAAAGGGCTACCCCGGTCATTTCTCAAAAGATTCACTCAGGTATGCTAGAGCTCAGGCAACATTGAAGAGTTATAATTGAAATCATAGAATTTGATATCTTTTCTCATTTTGAAATTAACAAACTGTATTTCATCTCATATCATGTTCTTCTATTTTGTAGGTGTACATAGAACCCTTGACCTTCAAGGACCTGCTATTTATAGCTCACAGGACATATCCAGAAATACCCTGTAACATACTATCTAATATGGTTGCATTTAATATGAAGGTACTTAAACTTGCTGATCATTCATTTCAAAGCATTAAATATTTCTGAGTTCAACCCACTGATAAGAATGTAAAAAGCTTATTTTTTTTCATGCCTTAAGAAAATGAATTCCCTCTGTCAGTCTCTTTCTCCATTCATCTTTAATTGTAACATTTAAGTTTGTTTAGGATTGTCACAAATTATTTACTGTACCTGTAGATAGAACAGGAGACAGTGACCGAGGGTCGGTGGGGTCAGAGAGGGGGACCCTGGGAGTTCAACCTCCGCGACCTCTTCAGGTGGTGTGACCTTCTGCTGAGGAACAAACACGTAAGTGATCTTAAAATTATTACCGTGTACATTGACCTTGAGATGCCAAGCAAACATTACTACTGAGGAACTATGAGGAGAGAGAAAAGGTTTACTTAAGATCCTGATGTACCCTGCATTTTGCTTGTCATTTATTTGATGAATAATTTGAGTGTCTATTTTCAGACTGTAGATGACCTTGACCCTGGAGAGTTGGTGGGACTGTTATACAGGGACAGAATGAGGACACTGGAGGACAAACAGAGGGTAGCTATAAATAGAATCCAGCTCTGAACTAAAACAAAAGAATATCCTCTTCTGGATATAATAAATTGTATAATTATAATTAAGTTCACATACTGTTGAACTAATATCAATGGCATTTTACACATGATACAAGCCTTAGGGTACAAGTTAGAAAGGATAGAATTGGAGGATATGTGATTCTTATTATTATTCACTCAGAAAATAGTCCAGAGGGTTTTCAAAAGAGTGTTAAGATAATATTATGAACAAAACAAGATTTTTTTTTAGATTTAAAATTTGAATTGTGTATTATTTAATGCTAGCTCTGTTTGCCTTCATAAGTTCTGATTCAATCTTTTATTTCCTGTAGGTGCTGGATTTGTATGACAGAGTGTTCTCCCCTGACAGACCGGTGTACACCTCGACCAGACAGGTGGTCATCACGGACAGACACGTCCACGTGGGTCACTCCTGTCTGCCCCGGTCTGACCCCCAGGCCCCCTCCCCCGGGGGTAAGGCCAGGAAGTCCCTGTACCTCCTACATCACTGTCTGGAGCCCCTGGAGTCCGTCATGAAGGCTGTAGAGATGAACTGGATGAGTATAATTGTATGTGGAGGCAGAATTTGTAGTGAAACTTGTATATTGATAGCACAAAATAGTAGAAAAGTTAACCAAAAAAATTAATGTGTATGGAAAGTTTCTAGCCTGAGGATTTTTTTTTTCATTGTAACTTGTTTATAAAGCAAATTAATGCACAATTATAATAAAAACCTCAGAAAAAAAGTATAGAGAAATTGAAGTGTTTTTAGAAACTTCTCAATCTTCATTTTCAAGAAATTTTGAATATTTTGAAAAAAAGTATCCATTAATCAGTGCTCATATACTTGCATGTACATTTATATTTTAATAGATTTCTTGAATTTTATGATTGACTTAAAAAAGAAGCTGAAGTTTTAGTCATGGAAGATTTATATTAGGTTGGTGGCCCATCAAGTGGAAAGTCGACCTTGGTACAGATTTTGTCGCAGTTGACTGGTAACAGACTCCATGTTTTAGCTACAAACAGCGCCATGGATACGACAGAGCTACTGGGGGGATTTGAACAGGTAACTGGGAGGAAATGTATCCTCTTCATGAGCATAAATCTGTGAAAAAAACTTGTTCATCAGTTTGTTGTTCTCCTATTATAGATGGTAACTAAAAACTGATGAATTATTCAGTATTGTGCAGTTCAATGCTCATCTCTTTTCTGGTTCATGGGGATGTTATTTGGTTGATAATTCTTAAATACAGAAAATTTAATAATCGTGCATATACTTTTGCAAAGTTATGTTTTTGGAATCTTTATTGATGGGTAAGAGGGATTTACAGTAAAACTTGTTTAGTACGAACACGGATATAGCAAATTCACGGATATAGCAAAGTTTTTCTGGGTCCCCGGCAAAATTTTTAACAAATCTTTGTTAAATTTTACAGTTATAACAAAATCTGGTATATTTACGGATATAGCGAACTGATTTTGAGTCGGTTGAGGTTAAATATAATAAAATTTATATCATTCTTTTATAATGAACTTTCAAAGATTATAAAAAATTGATGAACTAAACTGACTTAATTTCCTTTTAGCATTCGTATATAAAATTCTATTCATAAAAAAAACATATTATCAATGATAGGTTTTGTAATATTTGCTTCCATAACATATTTGGTAGTAAAAGTTGAAGGAAAATATGCACATGGTTATACGAATTTGTTACACGGATATAACGAATTACGGATATAGCGAATTAAATTCACAGGTCCAAAGGACTTTGCTATAACCGAGTTTTACTGTATGTAGCTATCAACATTTATAATTTGATTTAAAATAAACAATCATTCAAGGGTGTTCAGTAATACAAGTATGTATGTTGGACCCTGAGCTTTGTATTTTTGTAGGCAGACAAGAAAATGCATGTAGAAGAGTATGCCACAGAAATGGAAGAGGTTGTGACCTTATTATTGAACTGTCTCCTTGGTAACCATGACACAAAATCCAGGGTCCATAAGTGGGAGGAGCGGATAAAGGAGGCAGGGAGACTGACAGAAGTCTGGGGACGGTACACAAAAGTGGAGGAAAAGTACAAAGGTTAGATGTTAAGCCATGGGAGGGAATGTTTGGTGGATATAAATAAATGTACAACGTAGATCCGATGTTATGTTAGTATTTACATCAAGGTTCATGTAGCTTTAGCATTTTCTGGTACAGAAATATTGAAAATGATGTTGGATAAGGAATTGAAAAGTTTAGTTTTATTTACACTGCCTTATACCCTGAGAATTATTTAGGAAAACAGCTGACAACCACAGAGGAGGCGGCCCAGCTACAGGAGAAAGTGAACGCCCTGGAGGAGGTGTTTACAGAGGTCAAGTCAGGGTCAGCACAGCTAGAGGAGGCCCTCCACAGGTTACAGCAGAAGAGATCCAAGGCTCTGATTGGTCTGGAGGAATGGAAGGCGGGACAGGGGGCGGGGACTTTTGAGTGGACTGACAGCTTATTGGTTCAGGCCTTACAGAGCGGGGAGTGGCTAATGATTGATAATGTCAACTTTTGCAAGTAAGAATCTTTGGTATTTAATATGCAATGTTTGTACAAGAATGTCTGGATGGAAATTTATTTATATGTACAGTTTTTATTCTTTAGTATTTAAAAGAATGAATGCATGAGGATGCAAGTTAATTAACATGTTCTAGTTCATTTTAAGATTATTATGAAATAAATAGTACATTTATAATTCTAAAAAATGGACTTTGTTTTTAATTAGTGCCTCAGTGTTAGATCGGTTGAATGCCCTGTTGGAGCCCCATGGTGTGCTGTCAATCAATGAGAGAGGAGTGATTGATGGGGAGATCCCCAGTATCACACCACACCCACACTTCAGGTCAGTTAACTGTACAGTGGTGAAGCCATAGGAGATTATTTCTCTCTAATGATGTTTGGTTTACATAACTTAATTTTATAAACTTTGTCTTAGTCAGGAGTGATTTAAGTTTTGCTTTGTCATTTACACATTGAGAAGTTTTTTTACTGTCAATTTTAAATTGTAAATTCTTTGATTAACTTGTCAATTTTCTCCGTTTTCAGACTTGAATGTATTTATGTATAAATGATATGTGTATTTTTAGACTGTTTCTAACAATGGACCCTAAGTTTGGTGAGATTTCCCGAGCCATGAGGAACAGAGGGGTAGAGATTTATATCCCAGGGGAGGTCAGAACTACTTATAAATAATAATAAATTTGGGTGTATTCATTTACATGTTCTACTTTATACACCAAACCTTTCAAATGGTCATTGCCTATAATGTATAATTTCAAGAAGACACACTATGCGGCAAGAGCAAGGCTAAATGAGTAAGTTTCCCTAGGTTAAAGATGAAATTTTTTTCCAGGAAGAAGGAAATGCCTATTCAGAACAGGATATGACAGTGATGCTTCATGGTATAGGTTTAGAATGTAAGAGAGTTTCTGATTGGTTGATTTCTCTGTATGTACACATGAGGGAGATTTTACGGAGGGGAGAGAGGCCCCACCTCCTCCAGCTGTTACAGTGTGGAGTGACCGTCGTCCAGCAGACAGACCGAGGGGTAGAGACAGGGGAGGCGGTCAAGTGGGCCGCTAGAGAGGTGTTTGTTAACAGTATCAACAATGCAGAGACCAAGAAGGTAGGGGAATGTAGTGTGTAGAGAGGGAATTTAATACAGATAAAACGAATTTTATACAAATAAAAGGAATATTTTAAGGAAGATTTAAAGATGTTTGTCAAAATCTTGGCTCAGATGAAGATCTAGAGAATCGGATATTTGTCACAACCTACTGTGAAGGGGTCTTTTTATAAAACAATTCTTCCATGCATTTGATAATGAATACATCTTAAATCCTCTTTATGGCAGCATGTTACATCAGTGTTGGAGGAACATTGCCATAATTGTGATTTGGAGATGCCTGATTCTGACCCACACAGAGTTATCTCTCTTAGCCCTGTAACAGACCACATCAGGGACACATTCTCAGCCAATCTACTCCAACATAGTGCCTTAATACAGAATATACTACAGGGCATGATAAACAGGTAAATAACTTTCTCCAACATAGAACTCCATGGAAACTTGAACTGCATTGTATTCAGTATTTACATACTTCAGTCTTTCATAAATAAGCTACATTGCTTTTGCTCTTTGAAATTTTCAGATCTTTTCAATAGGTTTGATGAATTTGCAATGATTCATATTGTAGACTGTCTTCTGGAGGTGTAGACAATAAATCACATGACCTGTCACCTGACCTGTGTACATGGCAGAGTCTACTGTCTGTCTGTATGTTGTATGTGGATCTCTCTACACCTGACACACTCACTGTCCGCTCCCTGCTCCTACAACAGATGTTAGAGAGTTACAGGGAAGCCCTGAGTAGGTCAAGGTCAGGATCTCCATTACTTGACGACACAAAAGGTCACCTTGAGCTGATACAGGATGTCATGGGACTGATGGTTAACAATGTAAAGAGTCTAGTGCTGGAGAAATACAGAACAATTGATAATGGTTAGTTTGAAATGTTACATGTAGCAATGCATTTGTTTTCCAAATTTTCTCAGAAATTATTTAAAATGTTGTATAAAGTCATACATAAAAGAGGGTAACAGCAAACAAGGTTCAGAGATAAGATTATTTAATAGTTTTGTTTGTTTGGTTGTGAATACAATATTGTTCTGTTCATCAGCTGATGTTGGGCAGTACTACATGGACCCCCGATATTGCCCCCAGGTTCTGAGGTCTGTCTGTGGGGGAGACAGCTATGTGTGGGCTGTGAACCTCTACACTCTTGTGTCTCACGTCAGTAGGAGCTTATCAGTGGGGGCTCCACTGGGGGACAAACTGAAGAAATTCTTAGAAGGTAGGTCAAGTTATAACAGACAATAAGAGTATTTCGCTTCAATGAATTTGTTATGAATGTTACACAGTACTGTACAATGCATTTGTGGTGCCCTTTATTTCAATTTTGGAAGAAAAATTTAGTGATCTTATTCGTGAATTTGTTTTTTAGAAGGGAGCAAAGAGAGTTTTGATGTAGATTATGGGACCCTTGAGAATCTGATGTTTGATGTAATACAGACAGATAAAATCCTACAACAATTCAGCCACCTAGGTAAAGACAAGGATTTCCAAAGCATAATTAAGGTATGCTTCAAAGTTTTCACTAGTCTTGACCCATATAGCTATTTAAAATGTTGAAATCTCTTAATATTCACTTCCCAGTTTTCAAATCAGTCATGACAAGTACAGTCAAACCTGTATTAAGCAGTCACCTACGGGATCCATCAAAAGTGACCTTTATAGAGAGGTGACCTTTGGATAGAGGTTCATCTTTTTTAAAGGAATTTATATGTATGTCACTTTTGTGTATATATATTATGTATTTCACTAAAAAATAATTATACAAGAAAGGTAGGTATTGGACTTTAGTGATCTCACTTAAATTGTTATTTTATTCAGTAGATGCATTTCTTTTAAGGATCAATTCAAACTAAAAATGAATCAAAAAAAAAAAGAAAGATAAAATACCTGACTGTACATCAATTCGTACACTTACAGGGTGTTGCATTATCCTCCTAAATCAAAACAACATTCTTTTTCTTATGTATGGAATAAATAAAACATGCAGTCAATTTTTTTTATCTGTACACTTGATTAAAAAATTAACCTCTGTACATGTTTTTTTTTAATACATGTACATGATTTGTTGTATAATAAACTCTCAGACTACTCTCAGTTGATCAACAGGTGTACAGATGTCCTGAGCAATGAAGCGTTACTAATCTCTAACGGTCGTTTCCTTTGTGAAATTCGCAACATACCCAAGCCACAATGAGTAGATAAACTGTAATTATGGCTTCAACAAATGATGCAAGTTTTCTAGGTGTGAAAATTAAAATGCCTATCAAGTGTACGTAATACATTTACAACTCGCAGAGCATGCAGAGTTGGGCATGATGTTGACAGTGACTGTACGTAAATGGTAAACAAAAATATCATATTCATTAAGAGATGTTTATAACATTGTTCTTTATTAAAACTTGATTAAAAATCTTGAAGATATAAGACACTGATAATAAGGTGTCGATAATAATAATTTTTCCTGTTAACTTTTTTCGTCATAGAAGCGTAGCTTGTTAGAGTTTTGTAAAATATAGGCTAGAAGCAGTTAGTTTGTAAAATGATTCATATGCTTATCCAGTAATAAAATTCGCATTAAATAAAGACCAATTCTTAATTTTTGTTCACGATCCTGCAACACTTGACTGATTATTTACATTAGTAACAAATATTGGGAATCAGCTGACTCCAGATCAGGTCACGTGATTGGACAAAATGGCCGCTAAAGACAGGGAAAAGTGGCGATTTCGTTTGAAATTTGATGACCGCTGACCGCGTTACACAGGTGACCGCTTAATAGAGTTACTTTATATAGGAAATTTCATTGGGAGGAAATAAAATGACTGCATAGGACAAGTGACCGCTGGATAGAGGTGACCGCTATCACAAGTTTGACTGTATCTAAAGAAAACTGGATTTTCATTAGAATAAAATTATTTATTGTTTGCTAGGTAATGGATAAGATCTGCTGGGTTGCTAGGATGAGGGAGTCCTTGGTTACCTACACACAGGATCATGACCTTAACAAGGTCATCTTGTTCTACTCCTGGGTCAAGGACAAACTACTGCCTGTAATGGGGGACAGGTAAAAAACTAAGTCAAGTGGTAGGATATTGGAAAGACTTATTACAGTGGCATGTCAATAACTTGTCCAAGTGAATGAAAAAAAAAATTAGAACTGAAAAGAAGTCTTAAGATATTTTGTTAAATTCATTGAAATCAAATTTTTTAAAAGACAAAAATAAAGAATTTTAATTTTTTTTTTTCTGTGATTTAATATTATTGTTGATTTTGGCATTTCAACTGAAAACTTATGTTATACTGGTATTATTCATCTTGAGGTGGAAAACAGAGAGATTATGTATTCATTAAACATGGCTTTTCTCCCTGTAGGTTTATGGAGTGTTTCCCACATCTGTACCAGGCAGGAGAAGTTCTGCTGTCAGGATATGAGGAGACAGATTGTTACATCAGGTTCTGGAACTCCCATGGTCACCCACCTCCTTACAGAACCCAGAGTGAGGCTGAGAACTGCTTGACCCTGAGTGACCTCTGTAAACTGTCTGACATCCATAGAGAGGTTGCTGACCTCATTATGGAGTATAAAGTCCAGTTACATCTAGACAAAAGGAGTGAACTTGTGTCATTAGTAATGAATGCAGGGACTGAAGTGAACACTAGATGTGCACTTGGTATGAAAATTACTTGGCTTTAACACAAAATTATTTCTTTCTGTAAGACGGCAATTCTCTTGTAGCTGTTAGCTATAAGTTTCTTTAGTGACATTATTTCCTGTTATTCATAACCTCCCTTAATTTTAACCTCATCATTTTTTCCTTTTTGTATTACCTGTTGCAATATTAGAATTTATCAACTTCTAGGCAATAACACAGAGACCATTAGAAAGGTTAGACAACTCCTGCAGCAGTATAACCTAACACGAGAGGAAACAAAGCTAGTGGACATTGTAATGGAAACAGACCAATCAGAATACAGCAATCTATGGTCACAGTGCAGCCAATCAACATCTGGAAAGCATGTTGACCTTTGGCCTCTACATGATCACATGTTTGTTCTCTCTGAGCTGAAGCTGGTCAATGAAATGTTCCTATCATTAGAATATACTACTTCACCAGAGATAGGGGCATTAGTTAACTATGGGAGCCAGTTTTCACCTGTGTCACCAATGGTTTTAACAAAACTGAAAACAAAGTCTGAAGACAAAAGTCAGGTAATCGTGTAATCTGTTTTATAATGAATCTGAGGTCATCTGAAATATGTAAATGATGAGTGAATTGATGTCAAATACACAGGAAAAGCAAAGATCTATAAGGTTTATGTAGTACTGTATTGGGTACTTTAAAAAATGGGCTTAATATTTTAGTGGTTTTGGCACAGACAACAATGCGCTAATTTATGAATACCACTAACAAATCATTTACATATACAATACACTGAACAGACATACAAGGGTTAATTGTTAGAAAAGTTAACAGATACACTGAATTACGGAAAATCTATTGTGTACTTTGAAGTATGACCTATGTCTGAATATTTTCCCATATTTTGTTTATTAGTATGTAAAACATCAGGTCCATTTGATAAAATCTTGAAATTTTACAACGATTTTTACTAAATGGTCCTGTGATTTACGGAGCAATCACTTAACGTAAGGCGACGTGACAACCAGATTTCAACCCGTTAAGCTTTGTCGCAGTTCTATAAATCTTTCAATTCTTCAGATTTTTCTTTGATATTTTTCTACTTTGAAATTGAATATCTTTATCAAGATATGTTACTTTTCTACTATAATGTCTTTTGTACTGATTTGGATGTTATTGAGATCTTTATAAAAGTCTATGCAGTAAATCGATCAGGTATAGAAAGAATGCAAAACCATATAGGCGCAACGTAACGTCCATGTGATACAGAGGTATTGAAGTACATGACTGTATAGATGGAGTTAATTGTTCAAAATTTTAATCCTTCATTCTGATGAAGCTACAACCATTTGAAAACTTGTCCTTTGTAGGTGTAGGAAATTCCCAGCAGCATCTTGAACATTTTAATCTCTTTTTAGACATTTTCCAACCTGCTTACATAATTTCAACGCAGTGCAGTGCTCCATGACGCTCAATGACGTTCCGATTTTTGGCTGTGTTTTCAGGCGTTGATCATTTATAAACGGCTATAAACCAGTCATACACCCTCCAATTTAGATCAAATTTTCTCCCAGTGACGTTTTATAAATACGTTAGCGGCAGGAAAAATATCATAAATCTATTTCCGCTACAATTGTGCAATTTTTAATTTTGATAAAGAGTCTTTGTGATGTAAACGTGCCAAAATGTAGCATGCTACGTGAAGCAAGTTTTATCAAAATAAAAAAAAGCTATATATTTTTCAATTATCACCGGAGAGAACCAAATTTTTGTATATTTATCGGGAAAAAGCTAAAGATTTTATCTGGAAAGTTTGACCGGTTTCGGGGAAATAGCACGCTCACAGTAGAACTTGTCCGTGAACTTTTCTAACACCTCTCGTATGTTATGCCAAATTATATACACATACAGTACCTTTGGAGAACGAAGTTTCGGGGGTATAATATAGTTTTTGTCGTTAACGTCTGTCTGTCTAGCTGTCTCTCTGTCTGTCTGTCTCTCTGTTTGTTTGTTTGTCCGTAAAAACTTTAACCTTGCCGATAACTTTTGATTTAGTGGACTTTCATATTTCACATGTATATTTCTTGTGACAAGACCTTTCTTTAGGTACCACCACATTTGACCTTTTGACCTTGACCTTGGATTTTGACCCACTTTTACATGAAAATTTTAAACTTTTACTTTGGCCATATCTTTTGAACAGTGGATACCAGGACATTTATACTTCACATGTGTAATCTTTCATTGGATACCAACAATCTTGACATACTTGCCAACTCACCCGATTTCGTCGGGTCACACCCGATTTTTCAACCCGTAACCAGATTATTTTTTATGACCCGGCGGGTCATGCTTATCACCCGATTTTTGTCAAACAACCCGAAAATCTCCCGATTTCCGGATTTGGTTCGTAAATTAGGTTGCACTTTTAACTTCCAGTTAAAACCCAAGCTTAAATCTACGCGTAAACAATGCCGATGGATTAATTATCAGTGCATGTGTAAACAATTAACTGGGTGTTGTTTTGACAATTCAATGTTTGAAGTCAATTAAAATGGCTTCCGATAGAACTAGATCGTTATCAGGGCCAACAGGAACAAATTGAACCAAACACATGTCTCTGATTGAACCAAGAAAAAGAGAAACGATATTTATGTACATATCTAGGAATCTTGGGGAAAAAAAACTTTCATTCTAGATAAGATAAAGTGATCGAAGACAGTGTAAGCCTAACTTCACATTTAAAACATATTACAGTAGTTAATTAGTTAAGAGAGAGGAAAAATAACTTCAAAACTGAAATTGGTATACTTTCAAATTTAGCAGAAACTGAAACATGTGAAAAGGCTAAAAAAAAAAAAAAAAGCACACTTATATGCTTCTGAATCAGCTGGTCAATATTGAAATATGAAACCTTCAATTCTCATTTTTAACATGTAAATTAAATCAAATTATATATGAATTTTTTTGTCATAGTAAATTAAATCCTTTTTCAATAAAAGAATTCTCAATACACAAATACTTTGTATATATATTATAAATTTAATCATGGTAATTATGTCGTGAACGTCGTTACGCGTTATGACCAGATTTTTTACTTTCCAAATCTGGTCATGACCAGATTTTTACATGCTGGAGGTTGGCAAGTATGAATCTTGACCCTATGAGCTTTACCTTGTAGATTTCATTACTTGTGAAAAAACTTTAGCCTCGGCCATAAGTTTTTAAATGGTAAGGGATAGGGCTTTCATACTTCATATGTGTAACCCTTGTGAGAAGACTCTTTATTGGATACCAAGAATTTTGACCCTTTGACCTTGACCTTTGATACTGACCTACTTAAAAAAATGTAAACATTGACCATAACTTTTAAATAGTTAGGGCTATTGCTTTCATACCTTAAATATTTAACTCTTGTGACAAGACCTCTCATTTGATAACAAGAACTTTGACCCTATGACTTTGACCTTGGAGTTTGACCTGCTTTTTAAAAAAATAACCTTGGCCATAGCTTCTGAATGGTAAGTGGTAGGGCTTCCATACTCTCCATAAGTATTCTTTGTTGCAGGAGCTTTCATTTGATACCATTTACATTGACCTTTTGACCTTGACCTTGGAGATTTTTGTACTTATTGAAAAAAAAAAAAAAAACTTTGGCTTATTTTTAAATTTCGCATTTGTTTTCCAGTGAGAATACCCTACTTTTGTTACCAATTAAATAAATTTGCATTTACGAAAAGTTTAATCTTTACTTTGTTGCCATACGGGGGCATCTGTGATTTACGAACACATCTTGTTTTACAGGAAGCTTTATGTGAGATACTCTGTGGTCTGTACCAACAACTGTGGACCAACACATCGGCTACAGGACTAAACTGGTGGTTAAACTGGTCCCCATCTCCTCAAAGCACGACATCATATATTGATAGGACCAGGGAATATTTGGTAAGATTGAATGTTATTTGACAACCAGTAATTAGGGATCGAAATTCATGACTATTCACTTACTAAACTATTACACAGTTTTAGTAAGCTTAACCTACAACAAATACATGAGCATGTTTAATATTTTCCATCTAAGCAATATTGTCAATGAACTATACATTGACAATTTGTATTCTAAGAAATAAGAACAAACTGGCCAATTTTATCAAAAGTAAAGAGAACAAAAAATACTTATATGACTGCATCTTGGCCATATAAATAATGATTATTTAGGCCAAAAAAAATTAATCAATAATTTCTCAGGCACCGCTGCATCAGTTTAGAAACGACAGCATTGATAAATTTTATTGACATATTGAAAAGGGAAATAAAACAAAAAGAAAATTGAGTTATTCCCCTTTTCAGAAATGCTGAGATGGACGTTTTTATTAGAAAAACAATATGACTGCCGTCATGAGAAAAGGGCCCTTATCTTTTGACGTCACAATGCTCAGAAAACGACGTCAAAGTCGCGGTATTGTAAACACGGAAGTAATTTTTGTTGACTGCTTTTTGTAAACAGAAATAAAATTAAATTTCAAAGTTTAAGAAAAATGTGAAACTTGATACGGACCGAATTTAATTTGTATATGATATATTTACAATTTAGTAAGTAAATTCATTCATAATTTTGTTTGTTTAAGTATTTAACTTGATGTAGATATACGGGGCATTAAACATGCATGTTGCTAGCTATGGAACAGAGATTAAAACGATACATCTCTATGCATGACTAAATTAAAGATGCTGCATTTTTGTTTTCTAAGCAATTTACAAATGCTTAATTGAAATTTGAATTCATGTTAAGAAGTCCTAATATTAAAAGGTATATTCCATATGTACATGTATATTTTTTGTTCAGAGAGAGAGAGAGATAGAGAGAGAGAGAGAGAGAGAGAGAGAGAGAGATTTATGCATACATAGTAATTACCGTTCTTATCAGCACTAACTTTTTTCTAAAAATATATACCATAATTTAAAACGTATTCAGCCATTTTGATTCTAATCCATAGTTTATCATACTGATATGCCCCGATAACAAGCCTTCGGTGAAATGTCGATTTTAAAATGTGTGTAAAAAAGGGGCAGAGGGAGGCGAGCCAAAAAATCTCCGAACAAAAAGACCGGTAAAAGTTAAATCATAATCCCTCTTTGATTGAATAAAGATACTGGTAACCTGGGAGATCCAAACCTTTTACATTAACAATATCATTTTTTTTTGCTAGATTAACAGTATTAGAATATGCTAAGGGAAAAAATATGGACTTATTAAAAATGATCAAATAAATACATTCAAAGGCCCTGTGTGGTAGAAATTACCGGTTTTTTTTTTTCATATATTGCAATATATTACATTATAAGAAACTGAATACAGCTATTGTAGACTTTTCCCAAAAGCATTATACCCAAGAAATTAACAATATTACATCGACAGTGATATTATGGATGAGAATTTTTATAAACCAAAAGGGGAAAAAACTATAGCTAAGCAAAGTTTTCTGAGCACGAATTTCTGGATAACATCAAATACATCACCGAAAGAGCAAAAAGTATGTGACAAATTGTTATTGGTGTAATTTCTAAAAGTTATGAAATGTTTAAAATCTTTAAAAACTTTAATTAGCGTGAAATACATATCACTGAATATTCATGATATGAAATAAATAAGTCACATTTTGCGTTGAAATCTTCAATTCTGATCATCAATACATGCATAAAAAACCGCATATCTCGACATTAAATTCTTAAAGTTGGACGAGATAAGACTTTATATCATAATCCTTACATGACTCTGCGGAAAGTAATTAATAAACAAACACTAATTTTTCTTCTTTTAAATAAAATATAATATCTATTACAGTCGCACGCAAGTAGCAACGTATGTTGGGGTGTACATGGAAAGCCCCCCCCCCCCCCACCTCCAACACATACACATATTTTGTTGCATCATAGTCAAATTCGTGCACTATGTAGGGCAAAAGAATAAGGCACTGTATTATGTTTGATTGAAAAAATTTGACACTGAAAGAAGACTGAACCTTACCAACCCCCCTCCCCAATGTCGAAATTGGATTCATGTTTTGACACACACACACCTTTGTTTGGTTGAGTAGGATTTTTAAAAGTAGATTTATTTTTTTCCTATCTGAACCCCTCCCCCCTTTTCAAACGAGTTGTGTGGGGACTGGCGAAGGTACAAGTCAAATGTTTTTTTTTTTCATTTTGATATGTTTGGTACAATGTATGTCCTGAAAAAATAACAAGGGAAAAATGGCTTGCCTAAATATTTTCAGGGAAAGAGAGTCAAATTAGAGCGGTATACTATTACTTAATTAACAACATCGCCTCATACAAAAAGCATTAACGAATGAATGTTGGGCATAATAGTTCACTATTGGAAAAGACAATCGCATCTACATGTAAATGTGAAAAACTTTTAAGGTATCAAGTTAATTAGCCTTTATCACGGAGGAAAATGAATAGATGACCGTTCGTGGTCGTAAAAAATTGTTTTGCTTGTCAAGGAAAATTTGGTGGTTGTGAGTGCCCAGAACTGAAAAAAAAATAACTACCCCCAACTGAAATGGCTTCCTATGGGCCTGCCGTTCCTGCGTTAAAATATATTTGTATTCATTCAGTTTCAGATAGATTTCGTCAATATTTAGAACAGCACTATTCCCATCTCTTTGATTAATTTACAATATATATATATATATATATATATATATATATATATATATATATATATATTACACAAATCATTTTTTAGATCATAGTAGCTGTCCTTGTAAGAGTAATACAAATGTTGTGTTTAAGTGAAACAGGGTACAGGTGCCACAAATTAAAAAAAATAATAAATTAATGTGCAGAAATATTTCTAACCGACTTAAATGTGATTTACTTCTCTACAAAATAAGAATTTAAAAGACGGTTTCAAATTGAGGTATAAATTCAAAGAAAGTTTCAATTTAAGGTACGGTATATAAATAATTCAGATTCATTTGTCCTTTATTAGCCTATTTACTACGTTTCTACTCCATAACTGAGACAGGCAAAGAAAATGAATTGTATAATCAATGGAAACTTAGAGCTCTAAACGTTTTAAATAAACTATTAAAAAACGAATGATACTATATTGTTTAACGTCCCTCTCGAGAATTTTTCACTCATATGGAGACGCCAACACTTGCCGGTGGAGAGCTGCAAATGTCTAATACTCGGCACTTAGGGCCATTGAGCTGGGAGGGATCTTTTTCGTGCCAGCACCTACTGCGACATGGGACCCCGGTTTATACGGTCTCATCCGAAGGACCGGTCTCCACGTCCAAAATTGGGATTCGAACCCGCGACGTAAGGATTGACTCCTTACTTCCTTGCATGGAAGAAAGAACATATATTTTTTTCATGAATGTTTATAAAAGGAATAAACGTTTTCAGAATCAATTAAGTTTACATATCTTTGCGTATCTGAATTTATTATTTCTCAATTGAATTCTTCGGTGATACAGAAAATACACTGTGTTTTTTTTTATCGTTTTAGTTATAGGGAATAAAAGTACTTGCGTGTGTGTTGGTGAGTGGATGCTGTCTAATAAGATTTTTTTAAATATCGGGATCGATGTGCTTTTTGCGAGGGGTGCCCCGTTTTGCACGCGGTGCCCTTCTGCATCGGATTTTCTCTCTCTCTCTCTCTCTCTCTCTCTCTCTCTCTCTCTTCATATATATTTCCTTAAATCTTTAAGCATTACAAGTGCTTTATATATTTTTACAAATTGAATTAGATTATTTTAAATAAAAAGAATAATTTGTATGAATATAAACAAATACTATTTTTCTACTGATTATGTTATAAAGCAACTTAAAGCGTTCCTAGATTCTATCTAGACCCCCCCCCCCTTTTTTTCCAAATTACCAGATCTGCTAAAAAATTAGCATGAAAATAGAAATAACATACGAAATCTCTTAAGAATAGTTAGATACTAGTGGCTTGGAAGAAAGAAATTATATAATAAATACTTTTTTAAGTTTCTAACTCTCAAAACGATTGATGTCAATAACATGTAATTTCAAGATTTTTTTGAAAATTGAATTAGACGCAGGCGACGTCATTACATTTTCACTGAGTAACGTCAAAGTTATTTTTGGATTGCCTCACTTAACCTCTCATAAAATACCGAAAAAGTGAGATATTTTCAAAATTTATGTATATTTGCATTCAGAAAGAGTCCAGCTATCAAAATGTACCAAAAAGTCAATTTGTGAAAATTTGACCTTAAGGGCCCTTTTCTCATGACGGCAGTCATATATTTTTTAGGTCACCTGAGTAAACTCAGGTGACCTATTGCTATCTGTTTTTGTCCGTCGTCGTCCGTCGTCTGTCGTCCGTCGTGCGGTGTGCGTCGTGCGTTAACATTTAAACATTTTCAGCTTCTTCTCTGAAACCACTGAACCAATTTCAACCAATTTTGGCATAGAGCATCTGTGGGTGAAGGGGAACAAAAATTGTGAATTTCGTGGTCCCAGCCCCCCTGGGGCCTGGGGGGTGGGGCAAAAACCACTAAAATTAGTGCAATCTTTAAAAATCTTCTTCTTTACTCCCGGACATCAAGCAGTCAAACTGTTGGTATGATTGTAATCAGCATTGAGTCCTCTACCAAAATTGTGAAATTCATGGCCCCAGGGTCAGGGGTTCTGGTGTTAGGGCGGGGCTCTATTGATCATATAGTGAAAATGCATTAATGCTTTGAAAATCTTCTTCTCTGTTCTTGGGAAATTAATAAACAAATTAAGTTCTTAGTTATGATGAGCAAAAGTGGCTCTACCAAAATTGTGAATTTTATGGCCCCAGGGTCAGGGGTTCTGGTGTTAGGGCGGGGCTCTATTGATTATATAGTGAAAATGCATTAAATCTTTGAAAATCTTCTTCCCTGCTCCTAGGTATTAAATAAACTAATTGAATAAAAAGTTATGATGAGCAAGAGTGCCTCTACCAAAATTGTGAAATTCATGGCACCAGGGTCAGGGGTTCTGGTGTTAGGGCGGGGCTCTATTGATTATATAGTGAAAATGCATTAAAGCTTTGAAAATCTTCTTCTCTGCTCCTAGGTATTAAATAAACTAACTATGTAAATAGTTATGATGAGCAAGAGTGCCTCTACCAAAATTGTGAAATTCATGACCCCAGGGCCAGGGGTTCGGTGTTAGGGCGGGGCTCTATTGATTATATAGTGAAAATGCATGAAATATTTGAAAATCTTCTCTGCTCCTAGGTTTTAAATAAACTAATTAAGTACATAGTTATGTTCAGCAAGAGTGCCTCTACCAAAATTGTGAATTTTATGGCCCCAGGGTCAGGGGTTCTGGTGTTAGGGCGGGGCACTTTAATGATTATATGGTGAAAATACAGTACATCTATGAAAATCTTTTTCTCTACTCCTGGGTAATAAGCAGATGAACTATTTACATAGTTATGAATTGGGCTCTTCTTCCAAAATTGTGAATTTCAAGGCCCCTGGGTCAGGGATACCAAAATGGGGAGGGGGGGACTCTACTTATATACTGAAAATGAATTGTTTGAAATCTGATCCTTGGTATTAATCAAACATTTTTGATAAGCAAGTGTGCCTTTTCAAAAATTGTGCAATGTGTAGACCTAGGGTCAGGGGTTCATGTGTGGTAGGAGCACTCCTGATTATTGCTGAATATTACTGATTAGTTGACATACTTTTTTGTTCCCCTACCCTGCTTATCGGTATTAAGTAAACAAACTTAACAATTGCTAAGTATAGTTATGATTAGCAATGGTGCCTCTTTCAAAATTGTGAATGCCATAGCATCTAGCTTAAAACATGAACCAAATTCAATCATTTGAAAGTTGTTGCATGATGCTCAGGTGACCTATAAGGCCCATGGGCCTCTTGTTTTTCAAAATTTACAGTTTTTAATGAATTCACTTTAAAAAAGAAATTTGGATTAGCATTATTCAAAGTTGAATACATATTATAAGTAATTTCAGAGAAAAAAAATTAAGAATAAGTAGATATTATCATTTTATTAAACAAATGGCTTAAAAGGTGTCAACCTGGAAAAAAAAAACCTGCCGGCCACATTGAATTCTGACTTTTTTGGCCTGAGAAACTATTGATTGATTTTTTTTTTTTTGCCTTAAAAAAACCCCACTATAATACATGTAAATACCTTTTTTGTGGTGATATTCAGAAAACGATCACAAATATAGTACACTCTTGAAGCATAATGTATGTTCTATGGTTACTACTTCACTTTTAGTTATTTTGAACTGTGGACATATTGAGCATTTTTCTGTTGCCAGAGAGCTAAGAATAATAAGGATAGAAATTTGGTTGTTTGAAGCAAGTGCATACAAGAATAGAATGCATGCTTGATGTGTGAAATAAGCAAAACTTATTAATAATTTAACCCTGAATCAACAATGATTGTGGTATATTTACTTTTTTGACCTTATTAAAAAAACTAGTGTTGGCAAATCGGATGATTTTTAGTAACCGGTTACTCGCTTTATCTTCCGATCGAGTACCCGGTTACTCGGATGATTTTTAGTAAAAGTATCAATATCTATTATATATCGTATTCTATATTTATCGGTAGTTGTAATGCACAAATATACTGTATAGGGACATTATATTTACAACACACACATACGATATCGTCCAAGATTTACGACTTTAAAATAAAGAAAATTAATAGGGAATTCGGCACACAAAGATGACAAAAAATGTCAATCACTATTTTACGCTTTTTCAGCTCCAAGCCGAAATATGTCGCAATCAAGGAGAATAATTATTCAATCGGCAATCCTCGGCTGACTCTGCTAGGCTCCATTCAAACCTCGGATGTGATTAGTGGAGGAATACGCAACAGATCCTTACATTTCTCCGCCGGAACCTGCCTTATCACTCATTTCATATTTCGCTCTGCATAACGTTCTTCGAAAAAGTTTCTTAATTTATGCAATTCTTTATCGTAAACAGGTTTTGATTACATCCTCATTTTAACAGGCTTTGAAAGCAAGAAAAAACTGTTGAGTGTGCCACAAAATAACTCCGATTTCAAATGTATGACATTTGAAAGAAATTCAGACAAGATCACATGACTGAATCAGCAAGATGGTAGATCACCGTTGACGTCCGAGGTTATGTGCGAGGTAACGAGTCATCAGAGGAACTCCGAGTGATAATTATTTACATACTCCATAATTAATAGTTAATATGTGGAGTGTCCAGTAAATAGCTGGTTTCCGAATAATTTAAGCTTAGGTGATTTAACAGATTTTGAATTAGCTGTTCTTTTGTTACAACTCCAAGCTTATTATGTCTGCGGCGGCATCTCGTTTTTAGATTAATTATCAAATGAGGTAATTATAACTCAGGCCTTCAAAATACAACTGTATGTATACCCCAAGCAATCAAAGCTATCAATTATATAAACTGTGCAAACTAATCAAAACAATTTCATTCACTACAACCATGCACTAGATTAAGTCTAACGGTACCTAAAATTAGGGAAATGTGTAAGTTGGTATACACTTAATTAAAGATTCATTTTCTATGCCTTTACTATGTAGAATTTATTTTATCCGAGTAACCGAATAGCAGTTTTACTAACAGATACTCGCAACGTTCGACGGTTAACCGGGTACTTGTTGCCAACACTAATAAAAACATTATAAAATTACAAGTGATAAATACCATAGGTTGCCATTTCTCGTATTGTTTTATCTGTGGGTAGTCATAACATATCTGGCTTGGTGTTTGAGTAATATTTGTCTCAAATGTAGATATAAGTATTCAACAACAAGGTTAAGGTAAAGATTATCAAATCTATTGGGAAGCCCTATGATCCCCAAAGAATTTGGTCAAAGACATGTAACTAATTAAGTTCATATTCCATTGAGCTTTTTAACTTTTGATGTTATTCATTTCTTAACTAGTACTATGAGAGGCTGTTTGTAACACAAAGTGATCAAGCATAAACAATTAATTATACAGTATATAAAATGTCATATTTCTGTGTTCTTCAAATACTTGTACACATAGACAGTGGAACTTTCTAATTCCCCGACCCACAGATTGTGTTGATCATCAATACAGAGAGCACGGGGAGATGGAGGACATTGTTCTGGTGTGAGTAGAAGAGACAGGAACTGACCATTGATGTCCAATAGGTGGACACTAGAGAAATTCTCATTTAATGAATAATAGCTATTACACACTAAAATATGTCCAAGGACATCTGTACAGATTCCAGTTGGGCGAAATTCAGACTGAGAGTGATGGCCAGAGTAAGAGAACAGGTACTCTCCTGATGCAGTCACCACCACCACCTTTTTGGCCTTATAGTCTGATGCACAGATGTCACCATTGATATTCTCTGTGATGTAAAGTGCACTTTGATATAGCCTTTGTCCTTTATCATCCCACTCTATATCCTGCAGCTTTCTTCCTTCTTTGTTGTATCTGGTTATTTTACTGATTGACTTTGTAAGCATCCCAACTAATATGTTTCTATTGATAGGAGAGGAGTAGATGGCTCCAGGTATCCAGCTCCCTGTTTGGATATGTGTGATAGTGGACATGTCACTAGAGACTCTGAAGATGATTCTTTCACTGTTTTCTGTGTAAAGAAGTTCTCCCTCTGTTGTGACTGTGTGGTTACCATCTTGGATATAAATCCTACTGGTGGATATTTTCTGCAGGATATTTCCTTCCATGTCATACTGAATGAGATTTCTAAAGTTATCAGTAGCCCAAAATTTATTGGGGGGCAAGGGAGACAAGTGGAAAGTTCCAGGTTCCTGAATAGTTGTTTCGCTTACTTTTCCGACAGAAGAAAGCATAAACCTTTCTGATGAACCGAGTTCAATTTCACAAAACTGTTTGACTATTTCTTGTTTATTTACTTTACCTAATGTAAAAATTGGCAGTTTTGGTTCAGATTTGCTAGGCATTTTCAGGGTAGCTAATGAAATGTCTAACTGGAACTTCATGAGTTCTTTCTGTTTAATGGAAGGTATTTTACTCTCATAATCTGCAATCATTTTTTCCAGGTATTCTATACATTCCTCTGTTTTCTTCTGTTGTTCTCTCATTTCATTTAGGACAGAGTTCTCAATCTCATCCAGTTTTTTGTTATTATCATTTAGTATACTATCAACAGCCTTTTTCAGTTCATCTGCTCTCTTCGTCATGTAAACTCTAAACTTGGCAATTTCTTTTTTGACATTTTCTCTCTTTTTCCCAATTAATTCAACATTATTTTTAGCTTCAGGAATAACTGCTTTCCAAATCTCAGTTATTCCTTTCTTACATTGCTGTAGAATGTCATTGTAGATGATTTCTAGGTCACTTTTATCATGGACACTGTGATGTTGCTCAAAGCATATAGAACAGACAGGATCCTGGCAATCATCACAGTAAACATCTATATCTTGTGTGGGGTGGATCCTGCATTTCTCTGAAGGAAGTTTTCTTTTCCTCTCGTGATAGAGGACAATCTCATGTCCATTGTTCTGCTGTAGATGGCGCTGTTTGCAATTATCACAGATTCGCTGATGACAGGTATTGCAGTAGAATTCAGAGAAGTTCCTACAGGATTCTGTGTCACACTCAATAAAGTGCTGGGCTGTATCTGGTACCTGGTCCATTGTTGTTGATTCAAACTCTAAAAAATAGTTATTACCAGAGTGTAGGTAATGAAGACACTCTAAGTAGTGGTATGAGTGTGTATAGCTTTCAACATGCTCAACACTTACTAAAGTATAACCTTCTCTGTAGTCTAGTAGATAAATCTCTTTCACATTATCTCCAAGTCGTGATAAATGTCGGCCATTTGTAATGTATGACGTGTATCCAGGTAAAATTTAATTTACTTCCTGCTATAAAAAAAAAAGCAATGAGGCCGGGATACTGTAAATAGCTGAGGTGAGCCGAATGACAAAAATATTTTAAATCTCCATGCAGTCTTTGCAACAGTGCAAAAATTGAATGATAAGAGAATAAATGGGTCAGACTAGCAAACAGCGACTATAATTTAAATAACAGATATAAAAATAACACAAGAGCAAAAGAGTGAAAAAAATATAATTTTTAATGACCCTGGTTCTTTAAATATGCTTATAATTTAAATATTTAAAGAATTCATTTGGTTTATTAATAATATATTGACCCTGATTATTCTCATGTACTATAATCTTATCTAACATTCTGGAATTCCTGTATTTTAGTCAGAATTCACTATAAAGACATGAATTAAAAAAAATTGATCACCCTAACTTGATCAAGATTAACAATGGGACAAAATATACAGTAACAAGTTATGCCCAAAGTCATTAAATAGAGAATGTTGTATTACTGTATGATTTTCAACAAAGGGCATTGCAAAGTGGAGCATCCCCTTGCAAAGAGCAAATCAAACAGCACTCAACATCCATCCAGTTGCAAATAAAGTCACTTCCATGTAGCACAGTTCTCCCATGTGTTGCAGTGGTAAGAATGTCTGCTTTAGAGTGGTGAAGTAAGAAGTTGATCCATATGTCTTGGGTTCAAATCCCACTGTGGGAAAGAAACTGGTACTTTGGATGATATCATATTAACCAAGGTCTCGTGTTGCAGTAAGTGCTGGCACAAAAAGGATCCCTCAGTGTTCAATGGCCCTACAGTGCCAAGGACAAAATTTGCATCTCTCCACCGGCAAGTGGTGGCACATTCAATCAATCCATTTAGCACAGGACTTATCACACCTCTGAACAAACACATGCATGATTGCAGTACCATATCCTCTGGAAAAAAGCAAACGTTATTTTATTATTATTGTGTGCTCTTGATCCCCAGATATGACAAAATCTTAAACTTGAAAGCCAGTCAGATGTCAAATATTTTGATGAAATTTAAATGTTGCTTATGTAACCGAGCAGCAAGGCAGATGTTAAGTTTTCATAATTTATTCAGGAAATAAAGGCATTGATCTAAAATAAACAAAGTACATAATAAGTCAAAATTACAAAAATTGAGAAAATAACATTTGAGATAATTTACCTTACAGTATACGTTTAAGAAAAAATAAACTCCATGAAAAAATGTGTACTGTAAACAAATCAAATTGAAACCTTACAGACTCATTACTTTTCAGTTAAAACTTGAATGCAAAAATACAATAAAGTAAAACGTTTGCAATCAAAATAATAACTTAAATCAAATCATTACATGGCAATGAAACACATAATTAAATATACAAATTACATACCATAAGATGCATATGATGGACACTGGATTTAAAATATAACTTCTTTCTGGAAAACGTATTACTGCTCTGATATACAAAGTAAAGCGCAGTAAATTTATACTTATAGTGAAAATGTATTATTGGATGATAAAATAGGAAATAACCAATCAAATGAAAGAGCCAATGAAATTATAGAATAAAACTTTACTCAGGCAACTCAATCCAGGTGCGCAATAGAACTTTTGGTTAATCAAATTTTAAGATTTTATTTCTCAAAACGATTTGAAAAAATAAATAAAAACGAATAAATACATATAGAAATAGATTTCATAATATCACATACTCCCCTGGAAAATTGTTAATCTGTCCTCAGATTATAATAATATCAAATTTACATAATAATAAATACATATAGATATAAACACGAATCAATTGAATTCCTCCATTTCACAGAACAAGAAATAACTTTTTATCACACATATTCACAATCACTGATGAATTGGCTTCAACTCCTGTCTGTTCACGTTTCTGGTCTTAGAATCGTCGTTTTCCAAACGCACACTGTATACGGATGGAAACGGTTTTCAAACAAAGGTGAACACTTCTGGTCTCCACTTATCTTGTATCTTATCGCGTCCTTTGATCCCTCTTTTTCTTACGTATACACGGTCACCGATGTGCAACTCATCATTCACTTTTTCTGCATCGTGTCTCTGTCTCCGCTCATCTTCGTTCCGCTGAATCTCTGCCTTTGCCCTGTTGTACGCGAATTGTAACTTTTCCGAATGAAGTTCAATCCACCGGTCCAGACTGATGTCGTCGGTTGGAAGATTGGTGTTCCGTCCTAATAGGAAATCTATCGGCAGGTATGGGTCGCGTCCGTACATCAGGTAATAGGGTGAATACCCGGTTGACGAATGAGGTGTCACGTTGTACGAAAACACAAGCTCCTTGATGTATTCCGGCCACTTCCGCTTCCTCGCTGGGGGTAGAGATCGGAGTAAATCGTGTAGCGTCCTGTTGAAGCGCTCGCACTGTCCGTTTCCTTGAGGATGGTACGCAGTCGTTCTTGTCTTTTTAATACGGTAAAGGGTACACAGTTGCTGAATAATCTCCGCTTCAAAACACTTTCCCTGGTCTGAATGTATACGTTTGAATACTCCAAATTTAAAGAAAAACTCGTTCACTAACACTCTGGCTACTGTTTGGGCTGTCTGATCTCGTGTCGGAACGGCTATAGTCCACTTTGAGAAAACATCTGTGATCACTAAAACATTCTCAAATCCTTGCGCTTTTTCCAACACAGAAAAATCTATCGCTAAACACTCCAATGGTTCGGATGCTGTAAGGTGTCCCATACTAGTATGCACTTTGGGTGGTGGAATCTTGGATATTGCACAACGGTCACATTTTTTACAGTAGTTTTTAATATCCAGAAACATTTTTGGCCAATAACATCGCTGTCAAATCATATTGAATGTTCTTTCTATACCTTGATGACCATTCTGATCATGGAGACACTCTAACACTAAGTCCTTCAAACACTCCGGAAGTAGAATCTGCGTGAGCTCTCCTAATTTTGGATCTTTAATCTTCCTGAGAATAACACCATCAGAAATACACAGGTATTTTAATTGCCTTAACAAAACTTGCACTTTCTTATTCTGTTTCCTCGAAAAACTTGGTTTAGGAACAGTGTTTGTCTCCAGGAAATGCGTACACTTTGAAATCACTGCATCTTTTCTTTGCAATTCACTGATATCATCCTTTGAATATCCAGGAAATGTTTCTGCATGAGTGACAGTAGCTGATTCAATGAATAACACTGAGGAATGCACAGTTTTAATATCCAAAGGAACAATAGATCCATGAATGCATTCACTAAAAACATCAACACTTTTCATGGGAAGTTTTGATAATGCGTCTGCGTTGCTATTCTGTTTTCCCGGTCGGTACTTTATCTCGAAATCAAAATCTGCTAGTTATGAAGCCCATTTCTGTTCATAAGCACCAAGTTTAGCTGACGAAAGGTATTTCAACGGGTTGTTGTCTGTAAGTACCACAAACTTGTTTCCTAGTAAATAGTCTCTGAATTTCTCCATCACACTCCACTTAAGTGCTAAAAGTTCAAGTTTCAGGCTACTCATGGTCTTTGCGGAACGTTCATTAGGTCGAAGAGTTCTGCTGGCGTATGCAATAACGACAGTACGTCCATTCTGCACTTGAGAAATAACGGCTCCTAGTCCATGTGCACTTGCATCAGTTTCTACGATGAATGGTAATGTGAAGTCAGCATATCCAAGTAAAGGAGCACTAGATAACTGTGTTTTCAGCTGTTCAAACAAATCCTGACAACTTTTTGTCCACTTATCACCAAATTTTGTCTTCGGATGTTTCATATTAAGCTTGGCAATTTTAAGTAATGGTTCCGCAATCTGTGAGAAATGTCGAATAAAACGGCGATAGTAGCCCGCAAATCCCAAGAATGATTTCACTTCTTTCACATTTTCAGGTGTTTTCCAATTAACTATGCATTTGATCTTCTCACTATCAGTGCTGATGCCGTCTTTACTCACAATATGTCCCAGATATTGCACAGATGGTTGGAAAAATTTACACTTCCGCATCTTCAGTTTAAGACCATGTTGACGTAGAATAGAAAACACTTTGTCAAGACGCTCAATATGTTCACTTAAAGACTTTGAATAGACAATGATGTCGTCTAGGAAAACTAACATTATGTTGAATACTTCTTCTCGGAAACAGTGCTGCATTAAACGCTGGAACGTAGCTGGCGCGTTGGTAAGTCCAAAGGGCATGCGCATAAATTCATATAGTCCGAAAGGTGTTGTGAATGCTGTTTTCTCTATATCCTCTTCTGCTACTGCTATTTGGTTGTAACCGGAAGTTAAATCCATGGTAGAAAACATAACAGAACCATGTAACACATCAAAAGTTTCTTCAACTCTGGGTAACGGAAACTTGTCTTTGATCGTCTTCTCTTTAAGTTTGCGATAGTCCACACAAAGTCGTAGAGTGTTGTCTTTCTTACGAACAAGTACAATAGGTGAAGCAAAAGGACTGGTACTCTCCCTGATCACACTGTTATCCAATAATTTTCTAATGTGCTGTTTCACTTCCTCAAACTGAGATGGTGGAATACGGCGGTACTGTTGAGAAACCGGTTTATCATCAGTGAGGCAAATGCGATGTTGAACAGTAGGGCTGTCACGGTTCCAAAATTTTTCGGGTCGGGTCGGTTCTGATTTTTTTAGGTTCGGTTTCGGGTTTCTCGGGTCGGGTAGGTAATGGAAGAAAAGCTCATGATTTGTATCATTTCCACATTTAATCTTAGAAATTGCAACATTATAACTAGTTTAAAGTAGCCTCCTAACTAGACAACAATTGTACCAAATTATTTAAATCACCTTTCAGGGTTTCAGATTGAAATAATTTTTAAGTATCTATAGGACATCTGAAATATTTACCAGAAAAGTTATAGGCCATTCTGTCCTAAACTTCCTAAAATTATAGGCCAATAGAAAAGTTAAACAAGCTCAGATTTCTGTCCGACTTTTACAAAATAGTCATTTTATTACATAAAATATTCAAATATGAATATTAATTTAATAATTTTCCTTTTAATAAGGTGGAAATATTATTTTGCTTTCTTTTAAACACAATTAATATATTGAAACAGAATGGGAATTGTTTTTTTTAATTCCATTCAATGGGTATTTAACTTATATTAGTCCCACCTTTTATTACTTGTATATATATTTATTTCTTGGGAATATAATTTTTAAAAATAGTAATCCAAAAATTAGACTTGTATCTCTAATGATATTCAATGTATAATCACGTTTAAAGATTACAAAAAATAATTTTTTGCCCTTAGTAAAACTTTGCAACATTGTCCGTTTCCTGCTATTAGTCCGACCCCATATTCAATCATGGCGGTAAAAAAAACAACATGGCATGGATTCCTTCGATGTTTTAAACATTCATCACTACTCTTATGCTCCTTGCAGTTTGGTTTGGAAATAAAATTATAGAGTATTTTGTCAAGATCTATTTATACCAAAATGTCATTGGCTGATTGAATCGGCAGTTGCAGAAAGTAGAGAAAAACAATCGGATCTGAAGGGGGGAAAATTATACGACTGGCCTTTACATACAGAAGATAATCGGCCATTCTGTCCGTTCATTGTTAAACTTATAGGCCAACATGGCAGGTAAATTTATTTTTTTTTCCTGCCATTTTGAAATTTTATTGGCAAATGGTCGACGCCAATCAGAAATCCTGCCTTTTCATGACAATGTACTAACAAATGATCAAATCTCTCGTTTTTGACGCCATTTTTATAGTAAAATCTTCTCTATTATACATATCGGACCCGAACCGAATTCCGGAAAAACGGAACCGTACCCGTCCCGAAGTAATTGTTCCGCGGTTCCGGGTCATTTCGGGTACCCGTGACAGCCCTATTGAACAGTATTTGTACTTCCGATGTCGTCATCATTCTTCGAGAAAATGTCACTATATTTCTGGAAAAGTGAAGTTATTAACGTCTTTTCTTCTTTGCTACAGTCGAGATGGTAAATGTCGTCAGGTAATGTGAATTTATCATCAAGGGTCGAAACCTCTGAGACGTCACAACTCTGAATAAATATTTCCTCAACACTGCCGACTCTATTAAATCCAATATTTGATCTATTGGGATCAACTTCACATCTAGACACAGTTCCTATTCTTGTACGTGGTTTAACTGAAATTTCCTCATCTCCGATATTGGCTACACGAACCCATAATTTACCACTGTTGATTGTAGCACACGTATCCACGGTTCAGAAATTCCTGTGTAGATGTGATCCATTAATCAAAGGATTAACAATGACATCACTGTCAATATGTGGTCCAGTGCACTCTATAACAATGGCAGTATTTGCTGGTATACGAATAGGAATTGACCCGCTCACTCGTGCAAATCCACTAACAATCCTGTGATCGAACATGTTGCTTTCAGTAAAAACTTCCTGTAAATGTGCACTTGTTGGAATGTTACAAGTAGATAATATATCCTTGCAAACACTGAGAATATTCATACCGATGAGACCTGGTAGAGCTTCTTTAGGCTTCCTCGTTTCACTATCTACAGAGTCTTTGACTATAAGAAAACCACGTTGAGGAATAGTTTTTCCTAAGTATTGGACATCAAGTTCTACATATCCTATATATGGGATGGTAAGTCCATTCGCAGCTTTAAGTCGAATTAGATTGTCTTGTATGATGGTTGTTCCTAATGGCTGAATAAACTGTTTGTAAAAGCTTTCTGTCAGTGTTGAAACCATGGAACCTGTGTCGACTAAGCACGGGATTTTCACATTTAACACAGTAATATCCATCACAGGACACTTCCCTATAAAGCGTTGCATAAACAATGAGTCCTGTTGACCGCCATCTATTGTCGGACTCGTGTCAATAGATGTTACTTGTTTTCCGAATCATTCATTTTTACACGGCAAAATCTCTGTATATGGCCCAGCTTTCCACACTTGTAGCACTTCGGACGGTTGCTATAACGGCGTTCCGTAGAATGTTCACTGCCTTCGCGATCTTTCATCAGGCTGGTTAGTGAGTCGATCTGCTTTTGTTGTGCTTGGATGATTTTCAATAGCTGATCCGCTGTAGACGATTCCGGTGTTGGGACATTTAAATTTGGCTGATCGCTGATCCTCTCGACCGGTTTACTGTCTGGAAGCTTTGACTGCGTGTTTGAATGGTGTTGCGTTGTTTCTTCTTCACTGAATAGGATAATTTCATCTCAAAGTGTGTAGAAATCAACGGGTGCGTATTTGCTTCTAACAAGTCGTTTCGCTTCCTTGCGTATGAATGGGTCACACAAGCCGTTAGCGAATCGTTCACACAAGGTGCGCTCTTTCTCTGGAAAAACACTGCTGTCTTTCTTAATCACTTTCTGAAATAGATCCAAAAGCACATAAGAATATTCACGAATTTTTTCACTTTCTTTCTGGTGTCGCTCAAAGAAACGTTGTTGTAACGTAATAACACTTTCCGGATTTCCGAATGCTGTCCGTAAACAATCCAACAGTGCATAAGGGTCATTACGAATATCTTCTCTGTATTTCACTTCGTCCTTGGCCTGACCTTCCAAATGCGTAAATATAAGATCGACTTTCTGTGCATCGGTCCTTTCACGAGCTGCAAACGCTACTTCTAGATCATCAATCCAGTCATCAATTGACAAATCATTTTCAGTTTTAGGTCGACCAGAAAATGTTTTAATCTTGCGACTTTCTGGAATAAATGTATGTTTTTCAACAACTTTTGGCTTGGAAAGTTTTTCTTCTAAAAGTTCTTGTTCCAATTCATGGATACGGTTTTGAAGATCTCTTTTATTCATTTTCAGAGTTCAGATTCCAAGTTCACGATTAACGTTTACCGTTCCTATGAAAACAGTTCACAATACAAAACCCAGGTAAATCAAACACTCTGTCGATGAGTAGAAATCACCACACACACGCATCAGTGGAATATAAGTTCCCTAATCAATGCCTCGGTGTTGTTTCTCGCAGCGCCATGATGTAACCGAGCAGCAAGGTAGATGTTAAGTTTTCATAATTTATTCAGGAAATAAAGGCATTGATCTAAAATAAACAAAGTACATAATAAGTCAAAATTACAAAAATTGAGAAAATAACATTTGAGATAATTTACCTTACAGTATACGTTTTAGAAAAATGAACTCCATGAAAAAATGTGTTCTGTAAACAATTCAAATTGAAACCTTACAGACTCATTTCATTTACAACTTTGAATGCAAAAATACAATAAAGTAAAACGTTTGCAATCAAAATAATAACGTAATTCAAATCTTTATATGGCAATGAAACATATAATTAAATATACAAATTACATACCATAAGATGCATATGATGGACACTGGATTTAAAATATAACTTCTTTCTGGAAAACGTATTACTGCTCTGATATACAAAGTAAAGCGCGGTAAATTTATACTTATAGTGAAAATGTATTATTGGATGATAAAATAGGAAATAACCAATCAAATGAAAGAGCCAATGAAATTATAGAATAAAACTTTACTCAGGCAACTCAATCCAGGTGCGCAATAGAACTTTTGGTTAATCAAATTTTAAGATTTTATTTCTCAAAACGATTTGAAAAAATAAATAAAAACGAATAAATACATATAGAAATAGATTTCATAATATCACACTTATCACTACAATTACAGGGCCCGGAAAGTCTTCATAAGTCAGTACTAAGTCAGACTGCCTTCCACCTGATGGCTGGAGAATCTGAGGAAACACACAAGTCATCACAAGACAGACCTCTCACTGTTGATGTACCTCTGAGAGACTTAAAATCAAGGCTACACAAATTACAGATCCTGTCACAACATATCTGGTCTCAAGGCTCAATGCTCTGTAAAGGGAATCTTCAGACTAGGTCAGTTTTAATTTAGATGTTGTGTGTATTCACAAGCTTTATGAATTATTGAAAATCAGTAAATTAAATGATTTTTATGACAAACATTAAAAATATACAAAGTCATTGTGTTGTCCTTTTAGGAAACTGTTGAGACAGCATATTGTCCAAGTGTTTGTATCAATACTTCACTCCACTGTGTCAATGTTTAAAACAAAGGAATCAGAGGACAAATACAAACACAGTGTGTCTGAGATCATCACATGCCTTCAAAACAAAGATTCCTCTCATAGGGACAGTGAACACATAATCCAAACTATAACAGATCCCCTACACGGAGTTATTGGGCCTGATCTATTTATAGTCAGGGAGTGTTTGAATGGAGTACTTGCCGTTTCTGATGATGAGGCTGATATGATTACAGTAGGGAGACAGTGGGTGTATGTAGGTCTACTGGGCATGCTCCTCCACAAACCAAGGTCACCTGTTGACCCCGTGGTCAAGACACAGATAAAACTACAGCTCAAACAAAGGGAGGTAAGATGAAGTAGGGCACATGTTTACTTTAAAAATATAGAAATGTTTTTCTGTAAATATTTTTTTCTTCCTGTTGCAAAATAAAATAAAGATAATTTTAAAGTAAATAGTAATTATAGTTAAAAATTACATAATAATAATAATAGTTGAATTGGATTTTTTTGTTAGTTGGAGGAGATCAATACAGATATTGAGGTTAAGGTCACCTATCACAGACAAATGACAGGTCTACATCTGCTGGACACGCCCTCCCACCTACATCATCCTCTGATCCTCCACTTGATTGACAGGAAGGACAAGTTACAGAGACAGATAGAGGCTTTACAGTCCCAGCAGGCCTACAGACCAAGTGCTTGTCAGGTTAGTGCCTTTATATTTCAGAATTAATAGGATGACTACATGTTAATGATAATATAATTATTGTAACTGTACAAAACAATTTTGGCAAAGCATGTAAAATATTAAAAAGTAGGATTAAAATTTTGTGCCTTACTGTCAGTTTTCTTACTTGTTTATGAAATCCACTGTTTTCTTTCAGTACAAACAACTTTTGAATATGATAAGGGACTTTGTCAGTACCAAAGGATCTGCCGATCACACAATTCACCTGATGGAAAAGCTATTAAGAGTTTGTGATTCTGGAGAATTATCCAGTGAGATTGCAGAAGAGAGAACCTGGCAGAAAACTCACCAGCGATTGGTCCGTTCCCTGGAGGAGGAGTTCCCTCTGTACAGAGACATCACCACACCCTTCATAGTCGCCCTTCAACAGGTGAGTTTACATCAACAGGTGACTTAAATTGGGTGTATCATCATTGTAAACAGGTGGCTTTTAAGCCACTTAATCCAAAACATGGGGACTGTCTTCTGCTAACTCTTTCTTCCAAATGAAAACCTCTTTGATTATGAACAGACACCAGATTTGATTCAGGAGTCAGAAATATTATGCTGATGTAGAGATCCCATCTTATGGAAGTTAAACACTAAGGAATACATGAAACTTGACTTGTTTGTTTCAGGTGAGATGTGGTATAAGACTTATTGCTGGTTGTGCCACAGAAGCAAACAATGCTCAACAGCTGACAGAGAGGCTGAAAGTGACCAGTCAGGTAGGAGTACTTCTGATGATGTTTCATAAGTTTTGATGCATTACTCATAAATAAAAAATCTGTTCAATTTTTATCTGCAGTTATTTTTAATTTTCTCAGAAATATAAAAAATGTTTGCATTTTGTTCTAAAGGTCCATGAGACAGTAGGTCACATCAGGGAAGCAGCTCTGCTTTTGGGAAAAATCCCGTTTATTTCATCAGATGTGATCAGCAGCGTAAAGCTAGCTCAGAAAATCCTGTTAGTGGAGAGACTGGTGTCTGGTTGTGGGGGTCAAGAGGAGGAGAGCAGGACAGAGCAAACTTCAAGGTACATGTGTATTCTGTCTTTATAGAAATGTTTGAAATTTCATTGGTTGAGAAGAGGACTTTATAAAACTATATCATGCTACTTATGATAATATGTCATTGTTCTATCCCTTCCTCTTTCAGACTTTACCTTGGTGCATTGTTTTTACTGCGGAATTCAGCCATGATGAGAAAGGAATTGAACAGAGAGATTTTGATGTCTCTGCATCAAATCTTCAATCGTTTTATGTTGTCATGGAAACAGAAGGAGGAGATACGACGTCAGAAAGAGGCTGAGGAGGGTCTGTATAAATACAAGACAAAACTCCACGGCGACGACAGAGACAACGAAGTGATAGAGGAGGAGGAATTCAGACAGAACTTTCCTTCCTTTCAAAAGGTTAGTCAGGGTGGCCTGGACTGAGGTAAATATTTGTCTTCAAAATACCAAAAAAAAAAAATCATGAAAGAAAATAAGATTTTCAACATGTAGATCAGTGTGTCATTGTACAGAGCTATATTGTAATAGGTGTCTACAAAATGTGAAAGGTTTGAGATTTTGTAATCTTAATATCTTATTCAATCCTACTGAATTTTTGCTATGTGTATTTCTTTTGATAGGATTTCCAAGACTTGATAACACCCTCCTCTTTGGAAGACACTGGTTTGTCTGAGCCTTTGGAACCTGAAATAGAAGACATGCCCCACAGAGTGACTGACAGAGAATTGACAGCTGTAAGCCACATCCACCAGCTACTGTTCTCAAGTCTGTCCTCCTCTGATTGGTTAAAGCAAAGTCATGTGACAGAGGTCATGACCAAGGATATCACAGAGCCCACATTGTTGTGCTATAGCATTGCTGCCCCTTTGTTTAGAGGGCAGTGGAACTGTAAGTTTAATCTTATGTTAAAAAACAATAGAGACACTTGATAACCTAAGTAAGAACAGATTTCATCTAAATAAGTGATACAAACAATTATACATACATTTTTCGTAATTTCATTTTTTCTCTCCTCGACAGTGTCAGAAGTAGAAAGTCAGACATTAGGAAGCCACCTGCTGGCCAGTCAGACACTACAAGAGGAGATAACTCATGTATATGATAACCAGGATGAGAAACCATCACCTCAGGGTTATGATGTTTACCGTGACCCTAACTTGTCAGAGGTCATTCAGTGTGTCCCTATACTACAGAGACTGATGGTCAGAGTGAGAGAACTACAAAAGGAGTGGCCAGACCACCCAACACTAATACAGGTAACATCATCCAACTCTAATACAGGTAATATTATCCAACACCAATACAGGTAACACCACCCAACACTAATACAAGTTACATCACCCAACACTAATACAGGTAACATCACCCAACACTAATACAAGTAACATCATCCAACACTAATACAAGTAACATCATCCAACACTAATACAAGTAACATCATCCAACACTAATACAGGTATCATCATCCAACAATTATACAGGTAATATCATCCATCACTTATACAGGTAATATCATCCAACACTAATACAGGTAACATCATCCAACACTTATACAGGTAATATCATCCATCACTTATACAAGTAACATCATCCAACACTAATACAGGTAACATCATCCAACACTAATACTCTGTCAGGTAACATCATCCAACACTAATACAGGTAATATCATCAAACACTAATACAGGTAATATCATCCAACACATATACAGGTAACATCATCCAACACTAATACAAGAAACATCATCCAACACTAATACAAGTAATATCATCCAACACTAATACCATCCAACACTAATACAGGTAACATCATCCAACACTAATACAGGTAATATCATCCAACACTAATACAGGTAACATCATCCAACACTAATACAGGTAACATCATCCAACACTAATACAGGTAACATCATCCAACACTAATACAGGTAACATCATCCAACACTAATACAGGTAACATCATCCAACACTAATTCAGGTAATATCATCCAACACTAATACAGGTAACATCATCCAACACTAATACAGGTAACATCATCCAACACTAATACAGGTAACATCATCCAACACTAATACAGGTAACATCATCCAACACTAATACAGGTAACATCATCCAACACTAATACAGGTAACATCATCCAACACTAATACAGGTAAATCATCCAACACTAGGTAACATCATCCAACACTAATACAGGTAACATCATCCAACACTAATACAGGTAATATCATCCAACACTAATACAGGTAACATCATCCAACACTAATACAGGTAACATCATCCAACACTAATACAGGTAATATCATCCAACACTAATACAGGTAACATCATCCAACACTAATACAGGTAACATCATCCAACACTAATACAGGTAACATCATCCAACACTAATACAGGTAACATCATCCAACACTAATACAGGTAACATCATCCAACACTAATACAGGTAACATCATCCAACACTAATACAGGTAACATCATCCAACACTAATACAGGTAACATCATCCAACACTAATACAGGTAACATCATCCAACACTAATACAGGTAACATCATCCAACACTAATACAGGTAACATCATCCAACACTAATACAGGTAACATCATCCAACACTAATACAGGTAATATCATCCAACACTAATACAGGTAACATCATCCAACACTAATACAGGTAATATCATCCAACACTAATACAGGTAACATCATCCAACACTAATACAGGTAACATCATCCAACACTAATACAGGTAACATCATCCAACACTAATACAGGTAACATCATCCAACACTAATACAGGTAACATCATCCAACACTAATACAGGTAACATCATCCAACACTAATACAGGTAATATCATCCAACACTAATACAGGTAACATCATCCAACACTAATACAGGTAACATCATCCAACACTTATACAGGTAATATCATCGAACACTAATACAGGTAACATCATCCAACACTAATACAGGTAACATCATCCAACACTAATACATGTAACATCATCCAACACTTATACAGGTAACATCATCCAACACTAATACAGGTAACATCATCCAACACTAATACAGGTAACATCATCCAACACTAATACAGGTAACATCATCCAACACTAATACAGGTAACATCATCCAACACTAATACAGGTAACATCATCCAACACTAATACAGGTAATATCATCCAACACTAATACAGGTAACATCATCCAACAGCAATATCATCCAACACTTATACAGGTAATACAGGTAATATCATCCAACACTAATACAGGTAACATCATCCAACACTAATACAGGTAACATCATCCAACACTAATACAGGTAACATCATCCAATACTAATACAGGTAACATCATCCAACACTAATACAGGTAACATCATCCAACACTAATACAGGTAACATCATCCAACACTAATACAGGTAACATCATCCAACACTAATACAGGTAACATCATCCAACACTAATACAGGTAACATCATCCAACACTAATACAGGTAATATCATCCAACACTAATACAGGTAATATCATCCAATTCTTATACAGGTAATATCATCCAACACTAATACAGGTAACATCATCCAACACTAATACAGGTAACATCATCCAACACTAATACAGGTAACATCATCCAACACTAATACAGGTAACATCATCCAACACTAATACAGGTAACATCATCCAACACTAATACAGGTAACATCATCCAACACTAATACAGGTAACATCATCCAACACTAATACAGGTAACATCATCCAACACTAATACAGGTAACATCATCCAACACTAATACAGGTAACATCATCCAACACTAATACAGGTAACATCATCCAACACTAATACAGGTAACATCATCCAACACTAATACAGGTAACATCATCCAACACTAATACAGGTAACATCATCCAACACTAATACAGGTAACATCATCCAACACTAATACAGGTAACATCATCCAACACTAATACAGGTAACATCATCCAACACTAATACAGGTAACATCATCCAACACTAATACAGGTAACATCATCCAACACTAATACAGGTAACATCATCCAACACTAATACAGGTAACATCATCCAACACTAATACAGGTAACATCATCCAACACTAATACAGGTAACATCATCCAACACTAATACAGGTAACATCATCCAACACTAATACAGGTAACATCATCCAACACTAATACAGGTAACATCATCCAACACTAATACAGGTAACATCATCCAACACTAATACAGGTAACATCATCCAACACTAATACAAGAAACATCATCCAACACTAATACAGGTAATATCATCCAACACTAATACAGGTAACATCATCCAACACTAATACAGGTAACATCATCCAACACTAATACAGGTAACATCATCCAACACTAATACAGGTAACATCATCCAACACTAATACAGGTAACATCATCCAACACTAATACAGGTAACATCATCCAACACTAATACAGGTAACATCATCCAACACTAATACAGGTAACATCATCCAACACTAATACAGGTAACATCATCCAACACTAATACAGGTAATATCATCCAACACTAATACAGGTAACATCATCCAACACTAATACAGGTAACATCATCCAACACTAATACAGGTAACATCATCCAACACTAATACAGGTAACATCATCCAACACTAATACAGGTAACATCATCCAACACTAATACAGGTAACATCATCCAACACTAATACAGGTAACATCATCCAACACTAATACAGGTAACATCATCCAACACTAATACAGGTAACATCATCCAACACTAATACAGGTAACATCATCCAACACTAATACAGGTAACATCATCCAACACTAATACAGGTAACATCATCCAACACTAATACAGGTAACATCATCCAACACTAATACAGGTAACATCATCCAACACTAATACAGGTAATATCATCCAACACTAATACAGGTAACATCATCCAACACTAATACAGGTAATATCATTCAACACTAATACACTAAGTGTTGGTATATGGGGATTGGGGTGGGAGTAGTTATGTAGAATTAAAGGTTTTCTTAACATTGAAAAGATTGTTAATCAGAATATCTTTCCATTTATAAGTTATGAGATACATAATATATTTACTTCCATAAAGTGAATCTGTAAAAATATAAATGTTTTTCATATTTAATATGATTGTATAGTCACTTATCATTTACTATCGAAACAACGGCATGTCCCTTTTTTAGAACATCGAATTTTACTTCTTGGATAAAAACATTCTCTGCACAGTTTGTGTTTTATATTCTAAAATTGAAAATTAATACAATTTTAAATTTAAATGATGCGTGTGTCCATCTTTTTAGTTACCTGAGCCGAAGGCTCAAGTGAGCTTTTCTGATCACATTTTGTCCGGCGTTGACACTGTCCGTCTGTCCGTCTGTTAAACTTTTCACATTTTCGACTTCTTCTCCCGCTGGGCCAGTTATCAACCAAACTTGCCACAAAGCATCCTTGGGTGAAGGGGATTCAAGTTTGTTCAAATGAAGGGCCACGCCCTCATTAAGGGGAGATAATTGGGAATTAATGAAAATTTGGTGGCATGTTTTAAAAATCTTCTTCTCAAGAACCACTGTGCCAGGAATGATGAAACTTATACAGGAATCATCCTCAGGTAGTGTAGATTCAAGTTTGTTTCATGACCCCCAGGGGTAGGACAGGTGACAAAATGGCCGACCAAAGTTTTACATAGAAATATATAGGAAAATTCTTTAAAAATCTTCTTCTCAAGAATGACCAAGCCATAATTCATCATATTTATATGGAAGCATCCCCAGGTTGTAGATTCAAGTTTGTTATACACTTTTGACACTCCCGGGGGTAGGGGTGGCACAGTTTTACATAGTATATAAGAAAATACTTTAAAAATCTTCTTCTCAAGAATGACCACGCCATAATTCATCATATTTATGTGGAAGCATCCCCAGGTAGTGTAAATTCAAGTTTGTTCAAATCATGACCCCCGGGGGTAGGGCAGGGCCAAAATACCAAAGTTTTACATAGAAATATATAGGAAAATTCTTTAAAAATCTTCTTCTCAAGAATGACTGAGCCATAATTCATCATATTTATATGGAAGCATCCTCAGGTAGTGTAGATTTAAGTTTGTTCAAATCATGGCCCCCAGGGGTAGGGCGGGGCCAAAATAGCCAACCAAAGTTTTACATAGAAATATATAGGAAAATTCTTTAAAAATCTTCTTCCGTTTATAGAATTACCAAGCCATAATTCATATATTTATATGGAAGTAAAGTAAAAATTAAATGTTTGTTCATATTTAATATGTATAGTTACTTGGGCGAAACAATGACAAAGTTTTACATAGAAATATTTAGGAAAATTCTTTAAAAATCTTTTCTTAAGAATGACCAATTAATTACATATTTATATGGATAAAAAATCGTACTCTGCACAAAGGTTGTGTTTTATATTTCTAAAATTGAAAATTAATACAATTTTAAATATAAACTTTTGCTAGCCACAGTGTGTCGATGTGGCCCATCTTTAATTTATATTTTATGCAGCCAACATTTACTTGAGGAATTGATCAAGTTTAAAATGGTATCGTTTTTGATTGATTTTATCCGACTTCAAGTTTTTTAAAAAAATATTTGTGACTATTGTCTCCATCACATTCCTTTTTACACATTTCGAAGTGGTTTGTTGACTCATTTTCATTGTTTACTTTAATATATATTTCCCGGGCGACAATTGATGGTTACATCAATGTTTTCAATGTTTTCTTGTACTCTTTTGACACTATCCCTCTGTTATACAGTTTTGACACTGTCCCTCTGTTATACAGTTTTGACACTGTCCCTCTGTTATACTCTTTTGACACTGTCCCTCTGTTATACAGGTGACACAGATTGTAGACAGAATTCTATCGTTTCCTGTGACGTCACCTGTTGTCAAGTTCCTCACCGGTCTAGAACTTCTCCTGGAGAAAACTCAGGTAAGTCACTCACAAGTAGATTAATAAAATCATCAAAATGTCGTAAACCTAATCATTGATAAAACAGATTTTGAGTGGACATATCTGAGGTTAAATTATGAGTGATTTTGAAGGATGTATATATTTTATAGGAATGGGAAAGCAATGCAGCTAAGCATGTTTCTATGGCAACCCAGTTGTCAGAAGTTTCTTCTAAGATTTTGGACTGGAGAAAACTAGAACTCAGGTAGGCAAACATCTGGTTCTCAGTATCTAGAGCTTAAAAAAAATCATAGTATGTTATCAACCTTATAATTTAAAAATAAAAGGCTCGATTTCAAAATATTTTTCCCCAAACCAACAAATTTGAACCCTTCAAATATAAATTATGATTTAACAGTGTATTCTGACATTTTCCAGCTGTTGGAAGCAGTGCCTGGACAATGTCTTTGTAAAGCAGTCCAAGAAAGCTAACAAATGGTGGTTCCACATTTATCAACTTATCCAGGCAACTTGTCAACAGGTAAGAAAACTTTCCCTCGGTGACAGTTTAGTTAAACTATTCAGAAGTTCATAACCTTCTTGTTCCTAATATTAATCATCATAATGTTTCAAATTATTATACTTTAGGAGGAGACTTCAGAAGGTTCAGATTCAAAAGAGAAAGACTTGTCAGAGGTAATGCGGACCCTGAAAGAGTTCATGGAGAGGTCCAACCTAGGGGAATTTGAGGCTCGACTAGGGATGTTGAAGTCGTTCCATTGTCAAACCATGTATCTGTGTACTGAGGCCACAGAAGGGGGAACTGGATCACAAGGTAGGATTTATTTTGTCTAGATTACTTAGTATTTTAAATGTGTTATAATCCAATATGATTCAGATGAGGAGAATTACTTGTCAATGAATCATTTCACTCACAACAGTGAATAATTATTATTTTCTGATTCTTTGTCTATTACATACACAATAGCTGCAGTTTATTACTGGCATATTTGATTGATTTGTTATTTATCACTTTTTAATGTTTTATTTCTAGGCATGATGAACTTACTATGGAACCTGCATCAGTTTTACAGTCAGTTCTTACCATTGGTCAGAGAGAAAATACAGCAACTGAGACAACCAATAGAAAAAGAGCTCAAGGTATTGTCACGGAATTAGGATTTTATCTGTCTTTTATGAATATATGTAGCAAATACATGTCATTTTGATTTATTTCTTTCATTTGAATACAGGGGTTTGTGAAAATTGCCCGTTGGACAGACATGAACTTCTGGGCCCTAAAACAGACAACAGAGAAAACACATCGGACATTACACAAACAGATGAAGGCTTTCCAGGTAAGTTTGAAATTGTAAAAGGAGAAAATATTGATTGGACTGTGTTTCTGGTTGTCGAAATTACATATTACATGCTTATTCATTGTTCCTTATTGTAGGCTGTTTTAGAACAACCAGTACAGGGTATATTGGCAGACCCTGACAGCAGTGTAGATTCTACTGGTCAAAGGGAGAGAACTCTAACCTGGAGAGAAACTTACAGCTCAGCTGTACAGTCTCTGATATCACACACAGTCAGTGTACAGGTGAGACAGGTGTAAATTAATGTTTATTATAATTTGGCAAATGAAAAAGAGTTTGTACAACTTCATGCGTATGCATTTGTTGTTATAACAGGTAATTAAGGTTAGTGTAACATTTGCCTATCTTGACCAATATTGTATATTTTTTTTACCAACATGTATGTTTGTTTGCAGACACAACAGTCAGAGTTACCTGCCCTTGATCGTGGAGGTCTACACAGCCGACTTGGTCAGTTATCGGTCAGAATGTGTAAACACTGGAAATCGCTGACAAAGAGACTCAAGTACGACCAACTAATTGTCAGACTAGATGAGTTCACAGGTAAACACTTGCTTACATACTACAACTACTAAGTCTCAGAGAAATGCAGATGATCAAGTGAACTAAAGCATAAATTTCAAAATGCTCAAAAAGCAAATCTGTATTCAGTAGTTAAGAATTTTAGCTTTATTTCAAGGGTTGAATTAAAGTTTATCATGCAGAGTTTTGTTAATATGAAACAGAAATAGCCATTTACTTATACATGTACTTATATGTATGCCTGCTTGTTGAAACATTTAAGTTACAAGATTAATGATATCCTAATTTATATCCTTTACTTTTAGGAGAAATCATTGAATCCATTCATGAACTACAACAACTGGAAGTGTCACAAGTGAGTTTTATTGGAATGATCTCTTATTGGCAATATTATGTACAGTACTGAGGTACACACATGTTTTTATTTATGAAATATAATCATGAACATCCCAATGGATGCTTACAGACAGCTGACAAAGAAAAACAGAAGTCGGAAGCTAAACACATTGGACAGAAGAAAAGGAAAGCTCTCAGTGATCTGTTTAAAGAAATAGCACAGCTAGGTAAATAATAGCACAACTAGGCAATGAATTAGCACAACTATGTAATACATGTACATGTGTAAAGATTTGGAAATGCATGAATTAACAAAAAACGGTTTTTATTGCTAAAATATATTTACTATAAACATCTGTTGTACAGGTCTTTCCTACAGGAGAGGACTTCTCTGTGATACTGAGAGTAACCTCCCTTTGCTTGTTCCACCACTAGATATCTCTGTGTGCTCAGATCAACTCACCACAAGGTGGGGCTGTTTGTATCCTCATTGTATCTAAATGAAGGATTGAATCTACATAATTTTTTTTCATTTATGCTTTGTGTAAATGTTTAATTTTTCCTTTAGTAAGAACAGCGCTACAGAAATAGGTCAGAGTTGCCATGACTACTACTATAAATGTGTTGCCAGAAGAGCCAAGTTAGCCACAGCTTTACAGACTCCTTCCAAGGTGAGTTTCCTAGATCACATGACCTAGAGATAATACAGGTTGTTTAAAAACAGTATCAATTCAGATCACAAAAGCAAAGAACGATACTGGTATACAGTCAAACTTGTTTTAAGAGGCCACCTTTAAGAAGTCTGGAAACTGGCCACTTAAGACAGGTGGCCTCTTATTCCAGTTTGCCCAGTTTGCCCTCGAAAAAAACATTCGTGCAATGAATAAACAACATAAAGCATTACAGTTAATTTAATAAAATAATAAACAGGTCAATTTAACAAAGGTTTTTTGTGTAAATATATTAATTCAAGCTCATTAAAAAATATTAAAGAATTAGAATTTTTAAAAAGTTTTTGTACATGATTCTGTTCCTACATATTAGTTAAATAAGACATACGTGCAGTGCCTGGTTATTATCCTTTTTTAAAAATAAAAAAAAATTACACAAAAATATATTTTAGTGGTAAATAAAATAAAGCATAGAAATTTAAGTAAGAATATGTAAAAAAAAATTCCACTTGCATATGTTCAAAAATGGTCAGCAGTACAACCCTCCCCCCACCCCGAGATGACTACAGAATCTATGTAACATGTAAACCACTTGACCAGAGAGATGTATTGACGCAGTTGAAAATCATTCCATAACACAGGTGTCATAAGCAGTGGAGCGTGACTAATCCCTATCGATCGTCTCTTGATAGTGAAATTCACGAGTTTAATCATTCCATGGGAAGCACCTTGTTTTTACAAGAGTAGCAATTAGGGTTTCTACATGGAATCAAAATCTAAAAGGTGTGAATTTCTTTAGTTAGAGGAAAGTATCAATTGTACTTAAATTCTTTTATTTTTCAATCGGCGATCTTGAAAAATAATTACAAATTCATCTAACAATTTTTTCATAAACACAAACTGAGTTCAGTGTGTCCAATAGTAATTTGTTTAATTGCATTAATAGCTGGGTTAAATTGGCTATAGGGATATAATTACCCAAGCGAATGAGTTTAAAAGACATAATAGAATCGCAGCAAGTAACGAAATGGCCGCCTATTACAGTGTCATTATGGCTGTTGGGGGAGGATTTGAGTGGCCGCTGGCCGCGTTACACAAATATAGGAAAAATCGTTGGGGGGAACTGAAAGTGGCCGCTGACCGCAAGTTGCCGTTGATTTCGGGTGGCCGCTAAGACAAGTTTGACTGTATATGATTTAAAAGTTATAATTGGCTCTGTGTGATTTATTTTAATTTTTAGGAACTCGGTGTAGGGAATATAGAGCGATGTAAAGGATTCACTGAACACTTAATGAAGTTAGTGGTGGATCAGTATTCTGGGGTGGTGGAGATTCACAAGGCTTTCTTATCATTAAGGTAGGTCAAGGGTCACATGATGACAATTCTTTAGTGGTATATTTGAAAGATTTGCAATTGATTTTATCCATGGCAGTTTTAATATGAAGATCTTTTAAAGAAAATATTTAGACAACTAAATTAAACATTAGATAAACATATACCCGGTATTAAGCATTTAATTGACATTTTTTGATCAATTGAAGCTCCTTGTCTGAAGTGTTACAAGATCTATGTTCAGTTAATGGAACACCCCCTCCACAGAAGTCAACAAGGGAGCATATGGTATGTAGACAAAATCAATCTGTTTATACTATATGATATCTTTATTGTAAGGAAACACTGTATGTTCAATTCTTTCTCAATGGATAATTAGTTAAAGGAACCAAACTGAAGATCTTTTAGTGTTGACATACAATGTACATGTACATGTCTATATAATTTCAATTTATGAATCTGAGGTGCCACTATATTATTTTTCCCTCACTCTCACCATTGAATACATTTACAGGAATCCCTACTATCTCTCTTGGTCAGCATGAAGGAGGGTCTAATTCAGGTCAAGGTCATACTTCAGTGTTGTCCACGACAACAAGAGGAGATAACTCACTATCCGTCTCCATTTCCAAGAAATCAATTATCACAGTCAGCCCTGATGAAATATGGGGATGAACAGTGGAAGCAATGCTTTGATGAAATTCAGGTTTGAGGATTTTTGGTCACATTGGATTTAAAAATATTGTATTTTCTCCAGGCAAAGATTGTTTCTTTTGAGTTTTTGTCCCAGAGTCCATTAGCAGAAACCAGGATTCTCAACAGAAGTCTTACATGTATCTGCTATCTTCTTCTTTATATTAATTAATTGAGGAAAATGAATATGATATGATTTGCTACCTAGGTGCCACACTTGTATTTAAATTATTTTTTTTTCTACACATTTATTTTTCTAGACAATACAACAAAAGGCCAACACATTGTATGACTGTATCATGCCTCTAACAAAAAGACAACTAATTACATGGTATGCCAGGATTGTATTATAATTCAAAATGAAATATAAATTTTCTTCACCTTTATTTTAATTTTGTAAGTCATCCTTTATTTGTAACTGGCAGTGATTATTTAGAACTGAAAAAATATTGAATTTACCTCAAGTATTTTGCAATATTTAAACAAGAAATGTAAACCTTCTTCTTCATTACAGGAGTGACCTTGAGAAGGTGAGGTCAGTGTACAGAGATTTAACTGACTGTGTACCCCGACTGACAGAGATAGAGGGACACTTCTGTGACCCTGAAGACAAAACCCTGCCCTCCTACATAGATACAGTCAGGTACC